AACCGATAATTATCTATATTTTTCAAGTAGTCGCATGTTAACCTTAAAGGCATTTAATATATTTATTGGTGGACAACTTGGTGCATGAAAAATGGATTATTAGATTAAAAGCTATATCGGGTGAATTTTTTTTCCTTTGAATCTCTGGATTTTAAATTCTGGACTTTTTTTATCTGAATTTTAAATTATTATTTACTTACAGTTTTTAATCCGCTTTAACTACTTCATATTCGTTACAGCTACAGCACCTTCATCATTTCAGTTGCAAAATTTTCAGTTTTTGGAATTCAGAGACAACAGCCACAAAAGTTGAACATCAAATGAATTTTAAAACGAATTTTAGTTATTGTTGAAATAAAATCTTAGTTATTGTTAAAATGAATTTCAGTTATTGTTGAAATGCGTTTAAACAATGAACACAATTGCAAAACATGATTTGTAATTTATTAATTCAATCAATTGTTTAACTACTTCTATTGCTTTGATGACACAATGGTGCATACAAAACTAACTTTCATTGATTTGAAATGGAATATACAAGGTGTCCCTTTTGTCCTGCTCATAACATATATTTTTAAAATCCTATTACCCTTTGCATCGATTCTAATGATATTCTTATGAGCAATTAAACTATTTAGGAATGACATAAATACAGCTTCAAATGTATAAATAAGTAGTTCTACATATTTTTGCTAAAACATAACGTTTCCGATTAAAATTACTCTATATTTCATTAACTCTCTGCTAATGACAAAACATATTCCCTTTCTTTCGTAAGAGTTAGTTTTTACTTTTTTAATTAATAAAAATTATGTAAATGATATTATCAAAAATTAGATTTTTTAGCTGAATTATGTGTTTTTTAAAGTCCGCTACTATGACATTCGTAAACGATGAAATAACCTTTATATATTTTTAGAAACGAAAACTGACACATATTGAGGGTCAAGTTTAGGTGGCCGAGGGGAAAGAGCTCTCACCTTTCGATGAGAGCTCTTTCCCCTCGGTTCCAGGTTTAAACTGCAGAGGGCACTGGTAGATACGAAATTTGAATCCGGCTCATGCTGACCACAGTACTAACATAAGATATCCTCACAAAAAAAGTTTTAAGCTAAACTTATGGAATTCAATAAAATTTTTACAGATAGTTAGATCGATAAAATTTTTACAAAGTGTTAAATCGATAAAAATTTTACAAATAGTTAGATCGATAAAATTTTTACAAAGAGTTAAATCGATAAAAAATTTTACAAATAGTTAGATCGATAAAATTTTTACAAAGAGTTAAATAGATAAAAAATTTTACAAATAGTTAGATCGATAAGATTTTTACGAAGAGTTAAATCGATAAAATTTTTACAAATAGTTAGATTGATAAAATTTTTACAAGAGTTAAATCGATACATTTTTTTACAAATAATTAGATCGATAAAATTATTACAAAGAGTTAGATAGGGGCCGGAATAGCCTGATTGGTAGGGCACTCGACCCATATCCAAAAGGTCGTGGGTTCAATCCTCGCCGGCCGAAGACTCCCTATGTAGTAAATAATGGCTGATTCACGTTAAATTTGTCGAATCTCAAAGTCCTCCATGTTCCCATAGCAAATCAATACCTCTGGGGGTACTGATCCAGGAGTTTCCTTATCTTCTGGATGGGTTCAAAATTACCAGGCTACGGTGTTGGAACATTAGTAGCCGTAAACCCAACAATTGGGTTGCTGTTCTACGACGAATATTAAAGAAATAGTTAGATCGAGAGGTTCCCGGTTTAAACCCTGGTGCCCCTTTCTATTTCTTTCGAGCCGCGATGGCTCAGGGTATAGAGCGTTCGTTTTCTAATGACGTGATAGGGTTCGAATCCCCGCTGTGGCTGGTTGATTCGAATTCCGCACCCTTCTAGCACCATTCACAGTGCTGACGTAAAATATCCTCAGTGTTAGAGGAATCATGGGTTAGAGTCCCCTTGCCACCAGGCTAGCCGAGTGAGGTTTTCGTGGTTATCCTCTCCATGTATCGCAAATGCATGTTAGTTCCATCAAAAAGTCCTCCACCGGAGACAAATTTCTCCCAATACTTGATCCAGGAGTTCTCTTGTCTTCTGGATTGGGTTCAAAATTACAAGGCTACTGAGTTTAACATTAGAAGTTATATACTCGAAAATTGGGTCTGTTGCTCAACGACGGTTATAAAATAAAATAAAATGAGTTAGAAGGAAATAATGTGTCCCCACATCCGAAATATTAACTTTTAAATTGCATTAATAGAGGATTAAAATAGTATTGAAAATCGGGTAATGGTTATCAAACTCGGCAATTTATCATTTTTAACAAAAAATGCGATAAGTTTTAGCAACGTTTTACTTAATTTAGATGTCAAGTATTTAAAAGAAATCACTATTCACAGCCATCATATCATTTAGAAAATGGAGCGTGCATTTTATATGTACCAAGTATTCAATAAAAGATAATGAAATTGAGGAAGATTATTTAAAGGATTACATTTTTAAAAGTAAAAAATATCGGAAATATGAGGGTCATAAAAGAAGTGCATGAAACATGAGCACACTTTGCACCAGCTGCATCGAGCAAACACTCTGGATGCACAGTTTTCTGAAATATTTAAGCGCTTGAGCTTAACGTCTTAAAAACATCCACAAACGTCTTAAAAACACATTTTTGAATTTCACGAAATGTATGTATTTTATCCCTAAAAAAGTGGATTTGCTTCCACCACAAATACAAGTTCTCTCAGCCAGAGTCTTGGTACGAATCTGCGCCTCCTCTCCTAAGAGGGACACGGTTCCCAGTAGAACACCGAAGTCTAGCATCACTGGCTGTGGTCAGTAAGTTGGTGGGGGACCACTTTGATCAGCCTGCATAAGGACCGAGAATGCGCGGAATGGGTCCTCGCAAAACTGTTCTACCGTAAAGGGCTTGATTTCGCGCTCAGGAAATCGTGCTACCAAAGAAACCCCTAAAGGCATTGATTTGTTATGGAAACTTGGAGGACTTAGTTGCCCCGACAGATTTAACGTGCGCCAGTCACCATTTAACACACGGGGATTCTTCGGCCGGTGAGATGGGAACTACAGTTCTCACGAACACGAGCCGGAAATCCTACAGGCTATCCTGGCCCCTGTAACCAATGGAAATGTCATAAAATATTTTTAAAAATATAAAAAAATTGCGAACTTCAGAAAAGTAACATGGTTGACTTCTTTATGGTTTTTTTTTTTCACCGTTTTTAATTTTTATTTTTTAATTTTCAGTAAAATTTTAATTTATGACTTTTCAAAAACTATCAATTAAATCTAAACAGTTTATTTTCCTGTAGTTAAGCAAAATTTTGCTTTCGTAAAACATTGTTGCAAATATTTTTTCAAGAAAAAAATTCAAGTAAAAATCAGAATTTGTTAACTGCGTACATTTTAAAACACAAGGATTGAATTTATTCTAAACATTCTCCAACTTGAAAGACTATTGAATAAATTAATCTAAAATATCTGTGTCCGAATTCATCCACTTACAGCAAATGCTTTTTTTAAAAAGCAACTTTTTGACAGTAAAATCATTTATGAAAAAAATTAATGTAAAGATCGGTATTTTAGGGCCTTTTGCAAACAGTCGCTAAAATAAAGATCTTTAGAATTTTCTAATCAGTCTGTCATATTTTAAACTTCTGCATACCTTCAGGCAAATTAAAACATCTATCATTCATTGTTCATCTAACTTTATTTATATCAGGAAAATTTCACATAAGCCCATAGTAGAGAAGGCTTATGGTAAATGACCGCTTTAAATTTTCATTACATTAAGCTTAAGCTAATTCAATCGAATCAAGCAATTTTAATTTACCTAGAAGCATAGAGGCTGATTATAATAAGCTAAAAGGGAATCGGTAAGTCATGTATACCAATAATGCTAAAAACTGACCTTTCCTGACGTACCTTTTCTTAACATCTAAAGAAGATATTGCTTCAGTTTTTTTTTTTAAATAGTTGCATATAAATGCTTACACTGTAATAACTAATAATCGATATTTTTGGCAGAAATTTTTTTTAAATTATGAACTGAGAACTTTTAATTTTTAAAAAAAAAAAATCTTTTTTAACTCAAAATGTATTCCAGTTAACATTGAAACATTATCATGGCATACAACTAATATTATCTCAAATATCCCCCAAAATATTTCAAAGCGATATCACAAGTAGTTTCTTAGAAAAAGTTCATCAAAAAAGGTCAGATTTAGCACTATTTATGTATGCCTTAATTATTAAATCCCCTTAAAATTAAATGCTAAAGGCTTTTCAAAATAGCTAAGTGCATTGTAAAAAGCCAGTTAAATTTGCTAAGAGTAGGAATTTTTAATTGACTAACGACAAATATACTGACAGATATTTAGTTCCCTTTTTTCATTAATTTCTGCTCTAATTCCCATAAGAGTTATAGACACAATCAAAAAATCAAAAAATATGGCTTTATTTTGATTTTTATAACCGTCGTTGAACAGCCGACCCAATTTTTCGAATTTACGACTGCTAATCTTCAACTCCATAGCCTTCTAACTTTGAACCCAATCGAGAAGACTAGGGAACTCCTGGATCAAGTATTGGGAGAAATTTGCCTTCGTGGAGGACTTTTGATGGAATCAACCCGCATTTGCGTTACATGGAGAGGAAAACTACGAAAACCTCCCTTGGTTAGCCAAACGGCAAGGGGGCTCTATCCCGTGATCCGTCTACCACTGAGGATATATCACGTCAGCACTGTGGTCGGTGCAAGTCGGATGCGGAATTCGTATCTACCAGCCATCGCCTGGATCGAACCCCGGTTCACCTCATTGGAAGGCGAACGCTCTATCCCCAAAATTATTTACTTAATTTCATTGTATCTGAAGCAAAGAAACTATCACATAGTGTAAAAAATATGGCTTTATTTTGAGTAAAAATAGAATACAAAAAAAAAACACAAAAATATTCTTTAAAAACGCATAACATTACAAAAAGAAATTTCATCGTTATTTCAGTGCATAGAAAAATAATAATGTATTTTGAAAATGAATACATGAAAATACATGTAAAGCTTCTTATTAAAACTAGAAATGTAATTCGATGCAATATGTTACAGAAAAAAAATTCAAAAGAGTTTCAATTCATTATGAACATGCATATTGTAAATAAGAAATATATATTTTAAATAGCACATTCACATGTGCTTTAACAGTTATTTATAGTCAGTTCGAGCTGTTTATTTCTAGAAATAGTTTTATCGGTAGATGAACCACACAGAACTGTGATTTCTGGCTCCTGTTGCTGAGAGGATAAGTTATTTCTAAAATAAAACAGAAAGTTTTTATTTGTTTGAGTGCAAAAATGTGCAAAATAATTATATACAACACAATCTCATTAAAAAAAATTTGCTTATTAATCAGCAAATTTAATTCATCATCATTACCTACAACTTACTCTTAATCTTTTTCTCAAGTTTTTGAATTCTGATAAGACGAACAAATTGAAATTACATTCTGCATATTATTGAAGAAAAACTTCTGGTTTTGTATTACAAATATTAACACGGTTTCAAAAATAAAAACACGATTCCTTCAGTGACGAAAACTTATACCAATACAGTGACATTTAATTCATTTTTTCGAGCAGTCAACCAATATAGTTATCAAAAGCCTATACACATAACTACACAAAGATCATGAGAAATGATTTTTAAAAAAAATTGAAAACATTTAACTGACATATAGTGACCAAACGCATACACCCATATAGTGGTATCTTTAACATCCATCAACATTCATCGTATAACCATACGTCAACTTATACCCTTTGTAAATAAAATAAACGTTTAAAGGTTATACGATATCCCACTCTTCACATCTCTTTTACCATGGTTTCGGCAAATCTTAATTTTTCCCCACTTATATTCTAATTTTTTATTCAAATGTATTGGAAAGGGAAATAAAATTTTCCATGGTAAGAGAGAGATGAAAAGTGTGAAGAGTTGGAAAATCACGGAACCTTGGGGCACTTATTCTATTTACAAAGATTACACAAGTATACTGCGCAACTAACATGCGATAGAAAAATCAACGCAAGCGACAAAAAATACATAACTGAGATTCTTGGCGTTTTTAGATGATGCAAAAAAATTCAAAATAGCAATTTTCTTTAAATTATGTTTTAGCGGTCATAGCACTAGCATAGGTTTTGCATGGACAGCATACACCTTATAAAGTGGCGACTCTTACAATAAATATCGAAAGAAGTAATAGAATAGAATTTGCTTATATGTTCTTACACTTTATCGGGTATCTCGATGGGTACTATCTCTATTTTCTTGAGATTCAAACTATTGGATTGTGTTCTAGGTAAAGCAAGAGAGTCCGTTCTCCTGAAGACAGATCCGAACCATACTTTGGCTGCCTGAACACCTCCCAGTGGAAATCTGCTTGTGGCCAAATACACATACTGACCACCAGGTTTCATTTCTTTTTCATCTCTGAAATATATATATACTTTTATAAGAATAATAGAATGGAGACAGCTAAAATGATTCATTAAAAATTATGCATTAAAAATTCTAAATTAGAGAGGGTAGAATAAAGGTGGCTCAGAAGATAGAGCTCGCCTTTCAGTAAGAGGGCCCAAGTTTGAATCCCAGCGATGACTGGTCGGTACGAAATCTATTCCTGCTCACTCCAACCACAGAGCTGACTTAAAATACCCTCGATTGAGGACGAATCAAGGATTAGAATTTCTTTAAAATCCAGTTAACTGTGGGAAGGTTTTGTATTATGGGTAGAACGTTTGCTTTTCAATAAGGTGACCCGGATTCGAATCCCAGTGGTGGCTGGTTTATACGAATTCTGCTCCCAGCTCACACCGACCACAGTGCTGACGTAAAATATCCTCAGTGGTAGATGGATCATGAGTTAGAATCTCCTTTGCTGCCAGACTAACTATTGGAGGCATTCGGTGGTTTTCCTCTTCATGTAACGCAGATACGGATTAGTTCCATCAAAAAGTTTTTCGTGAAGGATAATTTCACCGAATGGAAGTAGTTTCCTTGTCTTTTGAGTTGGGTTCAGATTTCAAAACTACGGAGATGATCATTGATAGTCGTAAACTCAGAGTTGGGTCTGCTGTTCAACACAGCTTATGAAATAAAGTATCTGGGATTTGGGTAATTAGAGAGTGCCGAGTAATTCTATGTATCTTGGACTCGGTTTAAAATTCTTCCGGCTTGGATCTCAAAAAGTGAGCCCAAACTCATCTTTAGTTCCTATATAAGGTTTTGAAGTTATCCACCAGCCCATCCGCAGGAGGTGATATTAAGGGGTTGAGATTATATCAGCGAATGCAAATTTCTCTTTATATTTCATTAATCACCCGTTTTGGGGATTACGACTAACAACGTTCAACTCTGCAGCCTTGTAATTTTGAATTCAACTCAATATTCGAATTTTACACCACTGTGGCTATAAAGTGTTTCCACCAGCAAGAAAAAAAGGCCATAAGCGTCAGCTTATAATTCAGGATTATTAAATAAGGAGTATTACGTGAAAGAATAAATCTTTTTCCTTATTAAGTAATATTTTGAGCTTTATTATGCAATTGAGTGCTTTGCTGAACAATGCAATATTTTAAGCTTTGTAGGGTCATTTCCTGTACGTGTAACTTCCTACTTTGATGGCCATTCAGATCATGCTCTTTAATGCTGTTGAACCTTTTTGAGAAGTCTAATAATTATCTCAACAAACTCATGATTCCTAATACGCTTTCAAGATAAAAACTGAGTGCAGTCAGTTTCAATAAATTTCAGTTTTTGTTTGCTCAGATAGCTTTAGTGAATTCAGTCTCAAGTTATTACAAAACGATCATTAAGCAAGTAATCGACGAATTGGTCATCAAAATCGTGGAAACCATTCAACTTGGAATACTTCTCCACATTTAAGAATCCGTAGATTCCATAAATATCTCAGAATTTTAATTAAAAATCTGTTTTAATCAAAGCTATTTCTTGTGGGAATTTACGGGCACCCTTTATGAAAATTGGAATTTCATATATTCTTATACACTATCTGGCCAAAAGTATCAGGACACCCGGTTGTTAAGGTGGTGGAATCATAATGGTGTGGGGTGTTTCTAGTGGTTTGACCTGTGTCCGTTAGCTCCTGTGGTTGGAAACATGAACTCTGAGATGTGTATGTGGACAATGCTGCACTCTAAACTGTACGGCAATATTTCGGCCCATTTCTCTTCCAGCAGGATAACTGTTCCATTCACACACATCGAGGATTGCACATACGTAGTTTGACGAAATGGGTGTTCAGAAACTGGACTGGCCTTCTCAGAGCCCCGATCTAAATCCCATAGAACACTTTTAGGACGAATTAGAGAGCAGTTTATGTAGCCAGCCAAATCGACCCTCCACACTGCAAGCACTCACTTCAGCTGTGATGGAAGTCAATTCCTATGGCCACCTATTTGTAAATGGTTGAAGGTCTTCCCTGAAGTATGCAGGCTGTCATCGATGAAAAAGGGAGACCAACATCATATTAATATGTGCCTCAGGTACATGACACTGGGTGTCCGGATTCTTTTGGCCAGATAGTGTAGATAGAAAATTAAATTTGTTTTATTTATTCAAAACTGATAGTGATTGAAACATTACTTATCATCAAGCCTTGCCATTCTTCCTGTTCTAGTTTTCAACTCCAATCGCATGACTCCTGGGTTGACAGCAGCCGCAGATGGATCATGACACGAACCATGCTCACACTCTGTCTCAACAATCACCTGGTACTGGAACACTTCAGGCATACAAGAAAAAACGCTATTCGTTAGTCATATAATTATATAAGGAAGGTCTGAAATATGTATGGTAATTTGAAAAATCAATTTAGTCTAAAGAAGATAGAAATGTATGGTTTGCTGCGTTCTGTTTAGGAAACAAAAAAATTTCTTCTCATTAACTTCCAATATTAGTTAAAAAGTCATTCAACAACAATATACAATCCTCATTGCTTCAATGAAACATTAAAATACTTACAGCAAAATGGTTCTTCTTCTGATGTCTTCACAAAATACTCGTGCTTGTTGACTTCAGGATTCCAGAACAGATCACTGTTGTATCCCATGAGAGCGCAATCACCATCGTGAGAGCAATCAGCGCACCTCCCTTGAGAATAAGTCTCCCAATCCCTGCATGCTACGGCTATATGCTGGCAGACACTGCCCGATCTTCTCGGCTGAATCGGCGATCTGATACTGTCAGTATAATATTCAACAGCTCGCAGGTGGTCACATGTTGTATAATATCTCGCAGCTAAAAAAGATGTGTTGAGTAATTCAGAATATATATATACATAATATCAAGTAAGACTATACAGTAAGAAGTTGTACAACCCCCTCCCCAAATGGTGGCACACTGTATAATTTGTCTCGTCACCACGATAGACACCTCAGGAGAGGAGGTACAGGTTCCCACTGGCACAGCTCGGTCGAACTCCCCAACGAAATTCCAACTTTGGCATTTATTAAAATTCAAAAATAAGGTATACCAAATGCCCAATAATGTCAGAACTAAAATTAATATAAAATATCACAATTTTGCATATCTTTATCCGCTTTCATTAACATTAGGCGTGTTCTACACCAGGGCTAAAGAGAATAGAAGGGCTAGTTCACTCCGCTCCTAGAGCTGAAGCTACGATTTCCCTCCTCATGACGTCACTGTGTCCACAGATCTCGGAGATCGCAAGCAAAGATATTATGATAACTTTGCATCTTTCTCTTTGTAAAAATAAGTTAGACTTTTTCTGGTTATTAGCTTTCAAACTTTACGTAATTAACANGGTGGCACAGGGAATAATTTGTCTCGCCACCACGATAGACACCTCAAGAGAGGAGGCAAAGGTTCCCAATGGCACAGACAAATTCAAAAGAAGGTACACCAAATGCCCAATAATGGCAGAACTAAAATTAATATAAAATATCACAATTTTGCATATCTTTATCCACTTTCATTAACATTAGGCGTGTTCTACACGGTTGTCTTTATTTTGATCTCCAGTACATTATATATTGATATTGGTTCATGAAGCCCGACAACAAATCATATAAGGGCAAATTTTTTTGCGAGTAGTGAATACTCAAATTTATTTCGTTAGTCTTTGTTTGTAATACTTGGGCTTCACAGCACAAAAAACTAGTGACTGTGGTTATTTTTTTTTAAGATTTTTGTGCCACTTTCTGGATTTGAAAAAAATATTTGAAACAAAAACTCGTCATCTTTCCACACCTTCACATATATACTACTAATAAACCTAATACTACTATTAATAAAGTCTCATCTAGACGTGAATTTTCCATGACGTTTCTTTCCTTTTAAAGTGTCTTAGAGCCAATCGAGGTAGTTAACCAACTGTAAATACACTACCTGGAAGAAAGTGACGGGACAATTGTAAAGTTTGGTGGGGGAGGATTGATTGTGTGGGCCTGTTTCTCCTGGTATGGGGCTGGCCCACTGGTGAAGGTTGATGGTATGATGAATGCCGATGGATACTGTGATATTCTCGACAATCATATCCTTCCTACCTTGTGGACAACGTACGGTATGGATGATTGCTTGTATCAAGATGACAACGCAAGATCCCGTGTTGCGAGGAGGACTCTTGATTGGTATGTGAACAACAGCGTTAAACGCATGGAGTGACCGGCGCAGAGCCCTGATCTTAACCCAATTGAACATCTCTGGGACGAATTGGACCGTCGGTTGAGGGCCTGCACCCCACTCCCCAAAAGCAAGCATGAACTATGGAACTTCCTGTTAAACATTTGGAAGGAAATTCCTCTTGCCACTATGGCTAATTTAGTGGAAAGCATGCCCAGAAGGGTTGCAGCTGTGATCGCAGCCAAAGGAGGCCCTACCTCCTATTAATTTTAATAAATATGGGTTTATGTCGTTATAGTGTCGTGTCCCGTTACTTTCTTCCAAATAGTGTAATATAGGGTTTATAAATATCTCATAATAACTGTTGGCGCCGTTGGCGACTTTGAGTTTCGTCGATATCGCCAAACCAGTTTATCGCTCACTTTCTCCTTGCTGTCCTGCTTATCGCTTATAAATTTTGATTGTCTATTGTGTTATTAAATATTGTTTTTATCGTTAATTGGAACCATATTTTGACGTATCGAATAACGTGATTCATTCGGAATCATTTAATGGAGTAACTGTTTTCGTTATTATTATTTTTTTCAATAAAAACTGTTGTTATTATTTAAGAACTATTTCTTTCAGTTATATCAATTGCTACCTATGGATTATTACTTATTAGGATCAGTTGTACCCTCCAATAATATTAATATAAATGCAACAAATATGTAACTCACCTCTTTGCCACCCTATTCTGGGTAAAATATCAAAAGGTGAACTGTGACAACCAGGCTGGTCTTTCCCGCCGTTTGGATAAAAATCAACGTGTCCCACCTGGGCACGCATTCCAAGACCTAAAATAGAAATGTCAACAAAATGTATACATATTGGATTGCATTAGGAAAGAAACAAAAAGTTGTAGTAGTATAAAATTTTTGTTTTATTTAGTTATTTTCATGGTTTTAAATAAAGCGTATTTAATTTTTCACATACGCTTAAATACGCTTTTCAAAGGGCGAGATGGATCGAAGATTTTCTGGGAAAATTTGGCAAAAATTATCAGAAATAAGACAAACATTATTAGAAAATAACCTACGTGGTGGTCTTCCGAATTAAAAACTCGCCGCAGTAAAGTAAGAGCTCATAGACAAAGGTTTCAAAATCAAATCGACCCCTCCACCAGAAACATAAGAAAACAGGAATTCAAAGAAAAGAAAGCTGGATACAAAAAAGCCATCATTAAAGCAAAAATTGCCAAATTCCTGGAAAGCCTGACATACAACCACTTTTTTGAAAGGACATACGCCATCATTAAGTAATAACATGCTAAAAGGCTAATTTGCATAAAGTAATAATATATTAAGTAATAATATACTAAAGTAATAATGTGCTAAAATAACAATATACTAAAGTAACAATATACTAAAGTAATAATATTACATTAAGTAATAATACATTAAGTAATAGTATACTAAAAATATAAAGAAAATGAACAAACAAAGGATTGAAAATAAAAAAGGAATCTTGGCTCAGTTAAAACTTTACTGCAATACTACATTTCGTTAATTTAAGACGAGACAGAACTCATTGAACTACACAATATATCATGCGAACACAGCAGGATCGCTAGCTGGCATCGTTTATGGTTAAAACTAGGGTGGTATCTTATAATTTTCGCGTGTCTTTATGATCAAAATTTTCCACCCAAACAATGTGATTTAACACCTTTAGTTCAAATCTAATGTGAATATCAACAGCCTTACAGTCGCTTTTTACTTGAAGAAGGAAATTGAGTGCTCAGTTAATGACGTCCCACTACATTTACGCAAATAGAGAGTACACTCTGCCAGGTGTGTCATTTGAGGAACATAGGCAATCATGTGATTTGGGCTCGAATCAGAGCGATAGCTAGTTGATACGAATACCGCACCCGGCTTGCACCGACCACAGTGCTGGCGAAAAATATCCTCAGTGGTAGATTGGTTAGAGTCGGCTGGATAGCGATAGCAACGATAGATAGTTTATTAAATAAAATAAAATTACGGGGTCTCAATAGAGTCCCGTAATGTTATTTTTCGTTACAACCTCCCAGACTCCCCCCCCCCTTCGGTTAGGACCTGGGGCATGAATGAGCGTTTCCATCCATTTTTCTAACTTTTATTGTAACATTGGACCCAAATTTCTTGTGTTTCAAAAATAATTTTTAAAAATTAAGTAATTAAGTTACCAGTCTTTATTTTTCTGAAGAAAAAACTTTGTTCCCAAAATGGAAGCTTGGGTGATAAGAGTAAAAATATTTTTGAAAATCTAGATGAAAAAATAAATTTTAAAAGAAAGATTGATTGAAGTCATCCAGGAAAATTTTAAGTCTGATAAAAAAAATAGCGTATAATTTAACAAGATGTGGATTAAAAGTTTCATATTAATCAAATATATGTGTCCAGCCTATGTGAGGATATATCCTTAGAGTAATTAAAGGGGATATATTCCGAACTATTCAAGAATGTCTTCTGGTTCAAGATTTAGACATTACAAGGCTTTCATTTATGCAAAAGATAAAAATCGAATTTCAAGGAATTTCACAAACCCTTGTCCCATTTAAGTTATAATGTAGTCATTAAATTTCATTTTAATAACATTAAAAAAATCATTGTGTGCTATAGAGTTCTATTACAATGAAGTGATCACCCTTACCTTCAAACAAACCGGATCCAGAGTCAGTGTGAATGGCATCCACAAATTTGGCGTCACCCGGGTCCAGTCTCTCTTCTAAAGGAGCCGAGTAGAATCTTGGTCCAGCAGGATCCAAAGCTGAGAATAGAAACTAAGTGTACTATTAGGATATACGGTGCTAAATCTATTAGTTTTACCAAACTTAGCTATTTTTAGGTAGAAAAAAAAATTTGTATTTCAAGATATATGATACAAATATACAAAGTTCGGCTTTACAAAATTTACATTCAATTACTAAAATATTTAAATTATATTTCCAAAATTCAACATAGTTTTTAAAAAAAAAGTCATAATCAGATAATGGTAATGAAATTTAGTAAGTGTAATAAAAACCACAAAAAGTACTAACAAAAAATAGTTGAAATAAAGTAGAAACTAAGTGTAAATATTTATATAATAGAATAAAATATGTATATATACTTTCACGGTCGAAAATTCGAACACTTTGAATAACTTTTGATTTAATGATCGGATTTTCTCGTATTAAATCTAAACCTTAATAGTTCTGGGGCCTAATCTTTAATTTGCAAATTAATTAATTTGTGTGATACAAAATACGAAGTTACAAAATAAGACAGAAAAACCTACTTTCGTTAACTAAACGTACCTGACCACATTCTATAAAATATGGTCCTCACTGTTTAAGCGGGAATGCTGTCGAAATTTTGGTTCCTTTAATGTTTATCATTATTCTTTGCGTATTTCGACATCTTGAAAAAATCGTTTATTTATATTTTTATTTCTCAAGAAATAATTGGCCACTTATCTTTCAAACTTTTGATTTTGTCATTTAAAATGACATAGATTTAGATGGTGTAAAAATTTCCATGCATTAAAACACAAATATTTTTAGCTTTTAACTGAAGCAAATAATCATAATTTCATGGAATCATTTTTGGAGGAGAAAGTATGAAAATCTTGTGAAAACAATTTTTGATTAACTTCATTAGTTTCGGAAATATGGCTCGATTTGCCAAAAGTAAAAATCACATTAAGAAAATCGAACTTTCAACAGTTCTACCTATTTGTACCGTATTTTTCTGACAGCGGCTGTCCCCCGTATTTGGAGAATCAAGAATGCGAATCCGTCGAAAAGATGTTATGTTTACTCAGCGAAGTTACATCGTAAGTTAATAGTAAGTTAATTTCGTAAGTTAAAATATCTTCTGAACAAATCAGTTATCAAAATCGAAGTTATCAAACCGTTAATATTGCCTTTTAGTGTGTGAAAATCCCATCATTAGATCAAAAGTTATTCAATGATCTCATTTTTTGCGAGAGCGTGCATTTTACATTTATTGTGTGGTGTAATATATACAACATGATTGATTCAATAAATCGAAAATACGTTATTTTCAAAGACACTTGTCCATATATTTTGTATTAAATACATAAAGGCTTAAAAATATATTAATTACAGCCATAAATATTAGATTGAATCCTAAATATCCCACCTCGTTTACCTTTGTCTGCTTTACTTGCGTTTTCTGATTTGCATATATAAATCAAATATAATCATTACGAACTGATACCGAGTATTCTATATTCATGACCTTTAATATATACTTTTAGAATGCTTGTAAAAAAAGTAATTAAAATAAATCGCTGAAAGGAACTCATTAAAACAATAATAAAAATACATCATTGGAATTAATTAATTAATATTCAAGTGAAATAAAAATAAAAACTATCATAAACTGACGATTCAATTTTGAGGAAGCAAGATTAAAAATATCAAAAGTTGTTTGACTGCATGTTGTAACAGTGAGAAATCTAAAAAAGGGTGATTTGTTAACACTTTCAGTCAGCGATCAAGTAAGTTTTGACGTTTTTAAATTTTAAAATAATTGTCCTTAAATTTTAATTTTGTTTCATTTACACTGAAACGTAAGGAAAATAAGTTCTTTTATAAGAGTAAACAAAAGGAAATAAGGACTGCGCGCTCACAATGAAAACAACAAATAGTGTAATTAGCGATACGATACGATAAACAATAAATAGTGTAATTAGCGATACGATACGATAAACAATAAATAGTGTAACGTAATGATTCAGAATTTAATGCACAGAAAATAATGAAATTTTTTGAGTAATAAGTTATGAATTATTATATTGCTGTTGTAGCGGTGAATCGAAACTAAAAACTATTTTATTGCTAAATTACAAATTATAACAATATTATTACATGTCCTAGAAATTGAAAATTATTCGCTAACAACTAAATCAACAAATCAAATATATCAAGAGTAACTATTATTAAATAACTCAAATATTTATTACCAGAAAATAATTAAATGAAAACCAAAAAAAACAATGTTTTTAATTTTATCAGCGTTAGATCATTTCTTGAAATTTTATTAAAATTATTAAAAAAATTTTAATAATTAAATTTTTACGATAATTAAAACTCACATTTATTAAAACAGTTATTTTACATTAAATGACTTAATAAATACTTATATCAAATGATAAAATTTTTATTAATAATTCAAATTATTGAATATTTTAATTTCGAATAATATCAAGATGTATCACGTTTCATTAAACGTCTCAAAATTAACAATGGGATGCTTCCAAGCGTCGTCACACATGGGTCAGCCAATCAAGTTCAACACACACGCGTGACGACGCTTACAGGTATCCAATTAAATCTGATCCAAAAAAAATTTCATCGTGATAATAAACTCAAGTATTAAAGCTAAAACGTTAATAAGTCGTGCACGACCACGTGATTAGACGCATCCATGTGATTGGATAGACAATTGTAGAGTCGTGATGGCTCAGAAAATAGAATGCTCTTCTCAGAATAAGGTGTCCTTGGTTCGAATACCAGCGATGGCTGATTGATACGAATTTGGCACCCGGCTCACGCCTACCACAGTGCTGACGGAAAATATCCTCAGTAGTTGATGCATCATGGGTTAGAGTCCTCTTGCCGTGGGAGGTTTTCGATGTTTTCCTCTCTATGTAACACAAATATAGGTTAGGTCCATCAAAAAAGTCTCCAGGATGACAAATTTCTTTTAATACTTGCTCTAAAAGTTCCCTTGTTTCTGGATTACAGTATCAAGCCAGTAATCAAGGTTTTGTGGCCAAAATTAGTATTTCGATAAAATTTGTGTCAAAATTTGGGGGGTTTTATTTAGGGGTTTTTATGTGCAGGTAAATTGAATTCATAGTTTAAATTTTGAAATACACTAAAAATACCCCAAAAGGAAACAAAATAGCGGTTGAAATATGGCGAGCAAAAATAAGAAAAATAATATAGTATGTTTAAATAATTAAATATAGCAATGAAAATATAATAATTTTCGTAATTTTATATTAAAAATGAAAAGCAAATTATATTTCCGAAGTAATATTACAAAATAGCGCGAATTAATTACAAAATAATGCGAAAACATGAAGAAAAAAACATAATTTTTGTTTTTTTGTATCCACCTTTGCAATGCAGGCAAAATAGGGCAGGTTTTTTCGAAAGAAAAAACATCAAAGAAGACAACAACAGAAAGTTTAGCTAATTAAATCGTGGAACTTTTTGGAACTAAATTTCAAAAGTCCTTCAAACACTGTAAAATGTAAATGATAAGATATAAACTATAAGTTAGTCAATAGCATTAACTAATCCAACAAATTGAAAAATTTTACTATAATTTCAGACTAATTACTCTGATAAAAATGTAACAGTAAGGTGAAATTTCTATATCTATTTCTGAAAAAAAAAATTCAAAGTTACATTTAAAAAAAAATTTTAACATATTTTTTGTTACATTGTACTCTCGTCGGTCCGAAAAGTAAATTTTAATGCTTGGAATGATTATGAGTACTTAATTTGGACTATATTAAAACTGTCTACACATATTTTAGTTGAAAATTTAATTTTTGACTTTTGGCCAAAGATCATGGTCTTCTGACCCACAGTGGATTGGGTTCAAAATTACAAGGCTACGGAGTTGAACAAAGGTCGACGTAAACTGAAAGTTATGCTTGCTGTGCAACTACGCTCATAAAATAAAATAAAATACCCAAGTGTACAAAATTAATCATTTAAATATATAAATTATTATAAAGAAAAAAGCTCTACATTTAACCAATTATGTTAGAAGAAATTAAAAAGATTAGCTTTTTTAAAGGATGGATAGGCAGAAGCATAACAAAATGCACAATAATAAATTATAGATTTTTAAAAAAAAAAAGTCAACAATCTAGCTATTTAGAGTGCAGTGAAAAAAGAATGATAAATCGAAGAGGGGTCCTTACCGGATATCCGTCCCAGATGAGGAACCGCATGGCCGACTAGGGCAGCGATGTGACCGCCCATACTGTGGCCAATCAGATGAAAATCATCGGGCTTGGCATCTGTTTCATCCTGCGCGCCAAAATAGAAAAACAATTATTTTTAACAATACTGTTATTGTTGGTGGATACCTTTTGCTTGCTTCCGTAATCGATAAGCATATTTTTCGGAGATCAATTGTTGCGCAAAGTTAGATTTTATAAAAGTTTAGATACCTCGTCTGAAACAGAAATTTTAAGCGAAAATTAAATGGAAATAAAATTGCAAAATTTTAATTACTATTATCATATATTTTATTACTATTATTATTAATATATTTTTATTACAATTACTTTATGAAATTTCTATGATAATTATTAAAATTATTATAGTTCTAGATGGAACCCATATGAATGAAGTGCCTTTGCCAATTTCAAATGGTAATTTTTCAAAGTAGTGATATTTATTCCACAATTCCTTTAATTTATCTTCGATATCAATTCAAAATTTAATGTTTTTCTCCGATATCAATTCAAAATTTAACTTTTTTCCCGATATCAGTTTATAATTTAACATCATTTAAGTAATTTTCAGTAAAGAGTATTTTTTAATTTGTTTAGCATTTAATTACTACATACCACTATTTTAAAAATTCCTCCTTGCAATGTATATTACATCAAGCTGTAAAATGTACAAGTACATTAATTAAAATTTGAATAAGTAATAAAGCTCAAAATAAATAAGTGTAGTTTTATTGGCCTGCAAGAAAGTTTGAAGCATAATGAGCGTAAAGTAATGAAACATAATTGATAATTAATAAATTTGATTTTACATTAATCTTGAATTTCGTATCTATAATAAACAACTTATACAATTATAAGACCTGATAGTAGAATCAAATGAAAAAATTTTTAAGTGCTTTCAATAAATATATCTTTTTATTTCGCTTCCACTTGGAATATTAGGGAAAGCTTATAGCCTGCCGTATTAGCATGCATATTAGTAAATTATAGATGTTTTGGAAAAACGTCTTCACTAACTCATTTTTGCCATATTTCTCAAGAAATACTTAGAGAATTATTTAAAAACTTTAGAAGTGTTATGCAATTTCTCTTACACCTAAATAAAGTTTAGAGGGAGTTGATAGGGCATATATCAATAATGCTAAAACTGAACTTTTTCGATGAACCTTTTCTCAGCATCTAAACAAGATATTACTTCAGCTTTTTTTCACAGAATATTTACATATACACGTTTACTCTGTGATTACTGATAATACTTAGCAGAATTTTTTTTTTTAAATTATGAACTGAGGACTTTTAATTTTTTAAAAAGTTCCCTCATTTTTAAGCAAATATCTTTCATAACTCAAAAAGTATTCCGCTTAACTCTAAAACATTATTACAACACATATAACTGATATAATCTCAAATATTCCCGAAAATTTTCAAAGCGATATAATAAGTAGTTTCTTAGAAAAGGTACATTAAAAAAGGTCAGCTTTAGCATTATTGATAGATGCCCTACCAATTCTCCTTAAAGACTTTCAGAGGTTCGAAGGAACCACAATAAATTAAGAAAAAAAGGAATATTTTTGAACACCCTGTGTCAAAAAATACAGTATAGATTATTATATGATTATTGCACGTTGGTTATTACGTAAAATAACAGTACAAAATTTCGTAAACCTAGCTTAGATATTCATAGGGACATGAACATTTGTATACAGGGTTATTCATAATTCCCTCCAGGGTTTCGAAGCGTTATAGTAAAAAAACGAAGACGAATATGGCAAAAAAGAACATATGAAATTATTCTGAAAGTATTCAAGTTTTAATTTAAGCAGTTGCCGGTAGATGGCAGTAACATGTACCACTGAAGTCAGTTGTAGTAAACATAGAGTTGTAGTAAACAGAGGGAATTATGAATAACCCTGTATAAAAGTAATTTTTTTACTTACGTTTACTTACTGCAGAAATTATCAATAAAATTTTTAAAAAAATAGAGTAATTTTTATTAATAATTAAAATATTATAAAATTTGAAAAAACAAATCGTTAAAAATTGGGATACGAGTATCTATCTATATTATATAAAACGCTAATACGTACGTATGTATGTATGTATCAATAAAACCAATGATATTTCTTTTCTCGCGCTGGCAACAGTTTTCATTTTTAATTGATTGGATTCGGCGCGCAAGAGCACGTAGTGAGCAATCAGATAACAATAACCAGAGTGAGCATTATCAGGTTGTTCAATTCAGATTCATGCACTAAAAACATGACAATATTTAACTTAAACTCAATTAGGAATTAATTAATTAAATGAAGTGAGAATGCTTTAAAAGGCCGCTGTTGAATTGATATTTTTCTACTGGGAGCTACCTTTATACCACATTTATCGATAAGTGTTTGTATTGAATGCATTGAATTTTTTTATATTTCGCGTTTATTTATGCATTGAATTTTCACGCTTTAAAATGCAGAATATTAGTGAAGCAATATTTGATAATTTATTTTGCTAATATGTTTCTTATTTAGCTAATGTTTTGATTTTTTCACCATGTACAATCTAAATAGCTAATATACTTTTTTAAAAGCCAATAAGAACATTGGTAGAATTCTTCTACATAAGTACAATACTATGTCTTTGATGATAAAATACTATGTCTTTGATGATAATATATTATGTCTTTGTGCTAGAACATTGTGTTCATTGGCGAGCGAGCGCAGCGAGCCATGGTTCACGGCGTGAACCACATAGGATTGCGTAGCAATTCTCGCGGGTTGGCGAGCGTTAGCGAGCAGGGGGCGGAACCTCCTAGTTTAAAGTAATATTTCCATACTGCGCGTGTGAGGCAAACATTTTTAAAAACTTTTCTTACTTTCGTTTTGAATCATATTTGATAATTTATTGATAAAAGTCTCGTAACCTAGAATTGAATATCTTGAAACTTTAAAAAGTTTCTAGAAATTGTCTTTTAAGTATTTTTTTTAATTTGGAAAAAAAATTTGAACGATAAGGGGGTTTTCCACAAATTTAAGCAATTAATTTAAGCAATTCTGATTTAACAAATATTAAAAAATTAACATCGTCATTACATAGAACTTCTCCTAATTAAATTATGCTTTATTGCACATTTTTTATTTCCTAATACCATCACATTTTGTTGTCCGGACCATCAATTTAGAGTATTATCATTTGTTATGAAATTTTGTTTTAAAATACAAAATGAAATTTGCCAAAAACCCTTTATTATTTAGAGTTTTTAATTTCAAAAAAAGTGCAAAATCTACATAGTTAGTAACTTTAAAATTTTCAAGATATTCGATTCAGACTTTATTCATAAATTACCAAATACGATTGGAAACAAAATTATAAAGAAAAGAAATTTGGAAATATTTTCCGTACGTACGCAGTATGAAAAAATTACTTTAAATTTTTGTTTCTTACGTAATTTCTTACTTTTTTTTTTTCAAATGTTAAAAGAATATTTTTATTATTAATTGATAATTACTCTGAAATTCTTTTCAGTTTTCTTGAATATTTTTGAAGTTATAGTAGGAAAACGCAAGCCAAAAAAAAAAATTATTTTTATAAAAAAGTCCATGTTTCCACAAATATTTTAGATAAGTTTGCGAAATTTTGTGCAGTTCTTGCATATAATAACCAACGTAATTTACATAAGTGACAAGCTTATTGCTATATTCTTTGCCATAGGGTGTCCAAAAACATTATCTTTCGTTATGGTCGCTCCCTCAAACCTCTGAAAGCTTTAAACTTTATTGATATGCAAAAAAAAATCGTATTACTTAAACACTTCTAAAGTTTTAAAATAATTCCTTATATTTTTCTTAAGAAATATATAAAAATAATTCAGCTTTGTCCAACCCTGTATTTTGTTTATTTTGTAGGAGCAAGTATTCTTACTATTTATCGTTTCTTTAAATGAACTTTTTTCATAATAAAAACTTAAGCTATTCGATTATTGCTGTTGATTTCAAATGCAGCGCAAATCCTGGGGGAAATTTAAGACAGTACTCACTTGTATAAATTTGACGAGCTTTGTCAACTGGTCTGCAGTTATCTTTGAGTTCTGAATGGCTTGAGAATATGGAAACTCATTACCACAACTCCAGTCTACAATAATCACGTTGTAGTCACCAGTCACAAGAAATTTCGTCTTCATTTTCTGGAAAGGAGAACAAAATATCACATTTATTCAATCACGTGATTTGACTTCTAGAATGAATTCCTGGTGTTTCTCGTTATATCACACTCGCAATGGTACTTAATACTTTTTATTTAAGTCTCACTAGACACACTCATGCGTCGCTGCACAATAGGCTGTTGGTGACGGTCCGGAGGTAACATACATACATCACACCCCGTTTTACCGGGAGAACACATTCACACGCCATCCTTCCATCCGCATATCGTAATTTTGAACTAAACCAGACCCACGATCAATCTCCAATTCAGTATCCACAGAGGTATTGATTTCTTATGAGAACTTGGAGGACTTTGTTACCCCCACAAATATAGCGTGCACCAGTCACCATTTTGTATGCAGGGAATCTTCGGTCGGTGGGGATCGAACTCATGTCCTCTCGGAAATGGGCCCAGTGCCTTACCAGCCAAGCTAACCCGGTCCCTCTCACTTACGAAGAGGTGTTTACGAAGTGGTGTTACGAAGAATTCGTTGTCCAGTAAAGCTTTGTCAAACACCTCTCTGTTTTCTGGGAGAGGATTTTTTTTTCTTTCAGATTTCTTCATCGTTATAAGATCATCGTTAAGATCATTTCCCTGTGATTGCTAATCAAAGTTCTAATGGTCAACAATTACGAACTGTTAGCTAAAAAGAAATAAAAATTTTCCTAATTCCATTGAACAATTCTTCGTTATTGCATTTTAAAATTCAATGTGCCCTAAAGAAAAACTCTTGAAAATTTGTCTGCAAAAATTTCTATAAAATTTTCACGGGCAAAATTCACTACTAACGATTATTGTTCTAACAGTAAATAAAATTTAGAACCTCCAGTCAAAAACATCGCTATATTCTTATTTATCATTTTAAAAATCTCAGAAAGCCCTTCTAAAAAAAATTTTACATTCAAAACCATAAGTGAGCCGATCAGTGCTTAGAGCTCTCTTTTAAAGCAATTTCAATTTTCCAGAAATAAAGAATTATGAGCACCGTCAATTTTGATAACTTCATTAAAGCAAATAACGAATATGTTCTTATTTTTGAAACATCTTTTCATAGAAAAGTTCTAGATTTAAACAACCACATTTGATTTGCTTTGAGTACCACAACCACCATCTCTTTAAGCTAACAACACAATCTGTTCTCTTAAATACATGGTTGTTATAGTAATCAAAACCTAGTTATGAAGTACTTATTTAAATTTATTTTTATACTCTCTAAAATACCTAAAAATGTTATACCTAAGCAGTGTGCCGCATAATACCATACGAATTATTGTTGAAGGAGCTTGCCTTTTTCAAGCAATAGCATATTTAAATATATTATACGAGACTCAAGCTATGGCTCGAGCGGTGAACGAGGGAGTAGTAAAGCACGTATTGGAGCATCGAGAGGCTATCTTATCTCACTACACAGATATAGAGATGTGAGAAAGAGAAGATTAATACTTCTGCTGTCTACTATGTCCGAAACTGCTACTTTCGCTGGTTTGTGTGATTTAACACTAGAAAGACGGAAACTTAGTATATACCTATATTGCCCAAAAGCAGTCAAAATGACTGCATTGTGAATGCGTAAAGAAATTTGTTTAAAATTAATTTGTAATATTTTTATATTATTCACAGTTATATAACAAGTTATTAGTAAATATTAACAATAGAAAAAATTTTATTTCGTACAAAAAGTCACGAAATTCTAAGAAATCGTGTCATTATGTACATCATTGTTTTTCTAATTGAAATTAAAAGCAGTCAAAATGACTTCCTTAGGCAATCTAGTGTTAATGACTGCCGGACAGACTTTAAATCATTGCTAAAATTCAATCCATAAAAGACTTGGTCAATATCTCGGACATCTCTTCCCTAAGAAAAAAGTATGATCAAAATTACAGGAATATGGTAAAATTTACCACGTTTTGGATTGTATAGAAACACCAAAAACCTCGGTAATTTTAGTGCTCTTTGATAATGATTTCGGTAAAATATGGTTTTATAATTTGCGATAAAATTTAGTAAATGAGGTAAAATTTGTTAGTTTTATCATGATACTTAGAGCATGGCATTAAAATCCTTTATTTGGTAAAATTTATTTTTAGTTTTGCATTTTTTGCAAAATGTGTGGTAATAAGAACTAAAATTCTTAAAACAAGAATTTCCGGTAAACAGTTACCACATGAACGAAAACATTACCAAATGAATGGTATGAATACCATATATTTAGATTTTATTTATCAGAATTGCGGTTTTCTTTTTCTTTACCAAAACTTTTATTACCATACAGTACGATAATTTTACCAGAATTTTTTCCTCCGTCTTGAAAATAGTTAAAATTGAAATCATTTAAAGTAGTCCCACGTGGACAACAGCTAGATTGTGGAAAATAATTGGTTAATATTAATATATTGCTTAAAATTAATTACGTAATAAGGATTGGAGAAGCGTCAGAGAAAACAGAATTCGAATACGTTTGAGCTTTGCATTTGAATGGGTTACCCTTAAAATTTATATGTTCTACAAGATAATTTTGAAAAGTGACCAAGATGGTAGCCAAGGAATGGTTAGTTTAAAAACATTGTTTACTTGCATCCAATCTGTAACGTGTATGCTGTCCAGAAAACCGTGCACAATCACTTTCGTTGGAAGGGTTGAATCATAATCAGATGAGTACAGAAGTTCCTGGTCCCCCGGTACTAGTGGTCGATGTTTATCTGGATGCACTCTAGAATAGTACATGAAGTTGGTAAAGTTTTTACCAGTGCCAACACACTGGAGTCTGGCGGGTAGTTGAGAGAGGATATCACCCATAAAAGCAGAGCCTGAAATAGGAAGAATTTTTTAATCAAAAAGCGAGTCGATTCTACAAATGTGTNTTACAAACGCAAATATCATACGCAGTTTCAGCTATCTTTGCAAACGGTGAACAGTGTTGAATATTTGCAGTGTCATTATTAAAACGTTTAAAGTTTTGGATAATTAGTTATTGTTTCGATAAAACCATTCGTTTAGTTTAGATATCAATTTTAATTATCAATACATGTAAAAAAGAAGGTAAGCATTAGTAATATGGATTAGCACAGCCGGCTAAGATTAAGAAGCAATAAATCTGTAGTTACTTTACTTATTATTCCTACTTACATATGATTACTTATTATTTAACAAATAATAAGGTATTTAAATTTCAACATTAATATATTTTTCATAAAACTATTGTTACACAATATACTATTACTTTAATAAATGTTTAATATCATGAAATAAATATACAAACACAGTATCTAAAAGGGTCGTATTTTAATTAGCAGAAAGTGACTTTTATGGGGGTCGATGGAGATTTCGAAAAAATATATAGGTGTCGATGATCAAAACAGTTTGGTGACCCATGGCTTAGATTAATGTAAGTTATACCGAATATTGTATTCAAATAAGTACAGGAATGTATATTTATTATAATTAAATGATTTGGCGAATATAATGCCGAAGTCGAGAAGTTAGTCGCAAATCCTTAGACTACGACATAAAAGCGATAACTAATCCTATTAGAATACAACGTTTGGAAAGAATTTTTTATAAAAAACAGTGTTTAGATAATTAAATAAATAATTGTGTTAAATCAAATACACTCTAGCAGCTCGTCCATATAATGTAGCCGCGTACAATGACTTTTCTGGTCATGGATAGGTGTTCAGTTTTCAAACTACATTCTGTGTACATTAGTAACTCCCTTCAAGTTTGTACAAGAAATTAGGATTGAGCTCTCGCCTTCCAATGGGATGAACCTGGTTCGAATCCCAGGAATGGCTGGTCGATATGAATTCCGCATCGGGTTTGCACCAATCACAGTGCTCACGTAAAATATCAACATTGGTAGACGGATCCTGGATTAGAGTTCCCTTGCCATCACACTAACCATGAGAGGTTTTCGTGGTTTTATTCTCCATGCATCGCAAATGCGAGTTAGTTCCATCAAGAAGTCCTCCAACGAAGACAAATGTCTCCCAATATTTGATCCAAGAGTTCCCTTGTCTTCTAGATTGGATTTAAAATGACAAGGCTACGGAGTTAAACTTTAGTAGTCGTAAACTCAAACATTTGCGTTGGCTGTTCCACGACGTTTAAAAATCCTGTTTCTGAACTCCCTGAAATTAAACAATGTTTTTTTTTCCTTTAAATTTTTAGAGCATAACTTAATTGCTATTTTTTGTAATTTCTAAATTTTGATTTTGAAGGAAAATCATTTTTAGATATATATTAATTTTAACTTTTTTTTCAACATTATTTAGCAATAATCAATTTTAGAATTATATAGTAATAATATAGTTTGAAACTATCATTTATTATTAGAGTATTACTAACTATTTTTGCCCTTAGATTCGTGTGACTTGAATAAGCTTTCACAATTTTCAAATACAGAAAAACTTTTCAGTAATGTTTTTCATGAACACCTTCTTTTATACTAGAAACAAAGCCTTGAAAACGTGCAAGGCAATCTAGGACTTTAATTAGAAGGAACTATAACATATTCAATTCGACAAATTGATAAAAATTTTGCAATTTATTTCTAATGTCATTTCCCTTCATTGCCCATAGAACTTTTTATCGTTGCCATTTTATCGTTGATTATGGATTAATTGAATCAATAAAATCGAGAATCAGTAATCTCCAACAAAACTAATTTTACAGGAGATAAAAATCTAATTAATTAAGCATCAGCTTGATTATTTAAATTTTTAGTCAAAGGGCTTTTTTTTACTTCTTGATATTAAAATATTACTGGTTACAAAATATTCTATTGCAATTGTGCTATAACGTAACTTAATTTTAAAATTTAAAAAGTAATTTGAACTTTGAGATGGCTGTCTTTCAAAAAAAATTTAAAAGGGAATACTATACATTATTTTCAACAAGCAAAAGTATTAATAGTTTGTCATTTAGAAATAAAATACGAACTTTAAGTCTTGGACTACGTATTCATAGATATTTATAGATTCAGAAATCTTTTGCATTATGACTATTTGAGCTAGGCGACATTCAAATTTCTTCATTGAAAGACGAAATCTCATTTGATTTATATTGTAAAAACTTTTTTGATGTCTACAAATTTGCCTGTAGTTTCTGGCAATTTTTACAAAATATGATTCCTTAACTGATTATGGTGCAACTTTAAGGATACATTTTTTTTGTACAGAGTAAATATTAATTTGCATGAATCACCAATGAAAGGAGATACTTCATCTTCAACAGGTGTAGTGCTTTTATAAGTAAAATTACTACAATGTGACATCCAAAACTGTTATTTCTCCTTTCTTGTTCTTTCATAGGAGCATTTTGATAACATATTTTTCCTATAATGCTCCGGCTTTTGAAATCAAGTATATTATTTGCAGTCACCTTCTTTAGCGTTCACAGTTACTTTCATCCTCCTTCATTTTCCTGGACGAACCACCTAAAGAACTACCCTCTGAATCACTCATTGTGTGATAAAAAACATCAACAACATAACAAGCCTGAACTAAATAATTAATTTTTAGGTTATCTTACGCCAACAATTTCATAAGCGACTATGGCAGCCGTTTAGCGGTATAATTCCAAGTTTATTCCGAGAACAGGTCATCTCCAAGATATGGCACGTTTTCGAACAAAATTGAGATTTCACTGCACAAAATATACTATACCAAGTAGGATATACTATACTAGGTTTTTATATACTAACCATGTCAGCTAAACTTGAAAAGGTAAAAATCTCAATTTTGAATAAAAAAAAAGTTGAGGACACCGATTCAATTAAAAGATCTGAAAAGACTTTCAACCATTTTTCAGAAATCCAATTTCATCATTTAAATTAATAAAAAAATAGAAACATACTTTAGAATCCATCATGCACATCAAACACTATGGTAAGAAATAAAATGTTGTTACATTTGTAATCAAATCAGTCAAGAATTTAATAAGTTATCCTGTCTGCGAATAAGGCTATTTTGAGAAACTACGAAACAAACGACCGTTATTCGTTATTCGCTATATACCGTTATTCGCTGTTACTTAAATCACTTTTTAGTCGGCCATTTAAAGAGCATTTATTTCAGGGGTTAATTAATTGTTGAAAATCTTAAGCAATCTATGTTTACAGGTACTAAATATTTCTAAAACATGCATGTTAAACACAAAAAAAATTTCATGGATAAGTTACCCGAGACTACGAGGTACTTTGAGGTATTGCATTTTCTCGTTTAGTTTTTCCATTATAGGATCTCTGGTCACAGGCAGTTTTTGGATTACCTTTTGCTTGTGGTTGGTACAGCATGTGGACCACGTGTTCTGGTACAAATGGCGCACCGTAAGCAAAGGGTTAACCACTGACTACAGAAAGGCTACAGTGTGTTAGCAGACAGTGCGTCCCCTGATGAAATGCTGTTTTTGCTAACATACGCATCTTAAAAACTTCGTTTTGCTTACTTTTGTTATCTAACTTTTGATTTAATTTGATTTGATTTAATTTACATAAGACAAATTTGCTCTCAGCTCTTTTCCATTTTGACTTATTTTAGGGTTTTTATCTTAATATTTATTTAAATTAATTTCATACTTTGATTGGATCCTAGACTACGAGGTAACTTAAAGTAGCTTCATATAGTACAGGTTTTCACTTATCCATGCAATTCAGATCAGTATTGTAGTTAGTTTGTAGCCTGAATTCTTTTCATTGTAGCATCATTTGAAATTTATGGGAAAATCCTCGTTTACCGCTTGAATCGTTTGTTATGCGTGCATGCACTTGGCAGTGTTTGAGATATTTTTATCGAAGTAAAGGAATTTCAATAGGAAATTTTATTTTTCATTCATGTTATGATCAAAGCTATGAACGTCAGATTTGAACAAAATTTTACAGGCGTCTGTCAAAGTCGGAAACCATTTGCTCAACTCAGACACAAATTTTTTTACAGTAAAAGAAGTTAAAGGTAGAAAAGTTTTTTAACAAATAAAAATCGTTTAGATAAAGTTTGTAATAATGAGAATAAAAATATTACTCAAATGAATATAGTGATAATTGTTTAAATTACAATTAATTACAAACTAATTTTATCACATTTGAATGTTTTTGATCTCTTGTTTGATTGAATTATAGAAAAGAAACAAATATTAAAACTACTGAAATTTTAAATGAACTTTTAATGCGTTATCTTTTGATTAATATAATTCTAAATATCTAATTCCCAAAATTCTAAATATATATTTCTAAATAAATAATTCTAAATATATAACTATAAATATATAATTCTAAATTTATAATTTTAAATGCATAATTCTAAATATATGATGCATATAATTCTACAATCAAATTTATTGCCTTAATTAAATGTTATTTAAAATATTGTCGAAATGAGTTACATGCGTATTCTTCTTAATATATAAAACACAAATGCATAGATTGGTTAAAAAAACTCATGGAATTTCCTTTTTGTATTGACAACAAAGAACTGAAATATCAAGAGAGTGAGCTGTCATGAGCCCAAATGTTTATCATACATGTTTAAAAACTATGAATGAAAATTCTTATCTGCGTATTCAATAAAAAGCTAAAGCAAACTGAGTTGGTGGACAGAAATGGAAAAATAAAAGCGAACAGTTCAATGCAATAAACAAACTGTTCTTTATTTTTGTTTTAATTATGCTTTATAATTTACCCTTGTTTATTATTAATTTACAGCTATTAATTTACTAATATCAGCCTGTTGCACTTTTTTATGATTTTCGTCCATTTTTTTTATACATTTTACGAATTTGTGTTGGAATAAAGAACTTTAAACTGTACCGGAGTAGCCTAGTTGGAAGGACGTTGAGATCGTGTTCGTGAGTTCGAATCCTACCGGAAGCAGAATCCCCGTGTATTTAAATGATGAGTGGACCACTTTAAATTATTTTTCTGATAAATTAGTCTTCTGAAAAATATGAGTAATCATGTTGTTTTTTAATTTATAATTGCTGCTCAAAAATATATTTTGATAAATTCAATTATGTAGTTACCGGTAAAAGCAATAGCAAAAATACCTGTCGGACATTAAAGGTCAGTGGTTGACGGACATTGCTTATGATAAAGTTTGTTCGAGGAAACTGAGTGACCTTGGTCTGTAGTATGCTGTAGTGCAATTTAAGAAGCTTAGTGGTTATTCAAACTTATAATAAGACTAAATTGAGGAGTTTATAGCACCATTTTGCTCTTTTTAACATTAATTACTGTAAAATAGTAATTCCATGAAGTGCTAAGAATTATAAACTGCTTAAATATATTACTTAATAATCTGCATTTTTTTTCATTCAGGCAACAATGCATTCAACAGGAAGTAAATTATATTTACTTCATTAAATTTTATGTAAAATTGGGTTTTCTCAACGTAAGCAATTAAAGTAATGAATCTAAAATAATATTTAAAATTCTTAAGCTGTATTAAAAATTCTCTTTTTGTAAGATTGCCAAAAAGAATTTTTGGCGATAAACATTTAACGAGTGTTCCAAGTAACCAAAAATTTAACAGAAGCTATAAAAAAATGAATTAGTGTTTGAAATTGCAATGATAACGGAGCAAAATGATGAGCTTAATGGCCAAAAACTAAACCCGAAGAATTAAATCTTTATTAATGGAATAAAAAATTACGGGATTTCTTATTTCAACACTTTTTAACTTTGATGTAACAATCTATTTGTCGTCCTAAAAAAAAACGTTGTACAGCAATTTTAGGTTTGCGAACGGGTGAAATGCTTTAATAACGCAACCTTTATGCATTAATTTAATAAAAATTTCTAAATATTGCAGACGATAATACATATAATTGACGATAAAGTTAATTTTCGGAAGACGAATATATAAAATATTTNTTATTAAAATTGCTGAAACTTTAAATTAATTTTTACTAAGTTATCTTTTGACTAATATAATTCCAAATCCCAAAATTATAAATATATACTTCTAAATAAATGATTCTAAATATATACTTCTAAATAAATACTTCTAAATATATAACTCAAAATATATAATTCTAAGTATATAATTCACAATATATAATTTGCAATATATAATTCACAATATAAAACTCTAGATATGTAATTTCAAATGCATAATTATAAATACATAATTCTAAATATATGATGTATATAATTCTAAAACTAAATTTATTAACCTAATTAAACGTTAATTAAAATGTTGTCGAAATTAATTACATGCGTATTTTTCTTAAAATAGAAAACACAAATGTGTATATTGTAAAAAAACTCATGACATTTCTTTTTGTGTTGACAACAAAGAACTGAAATATCAAGAGATGGAGCTGTCATAAGCACGAATGTTTATCATACAAGTTTAAAAATTCTGAATGAAAATTCGTATCTTCGTATTCAACGAAAAGCTGAAACAAACTGAATTGGACAGAAATGGATGAACAAAGCGTTCAATGCAACAAACAAACTATTCTTTATTTCTGTTTTAATTATGCTTATTAATTTACGCATGTTTATTATTAAATTACAGTTATATTTTAATTTCAATCAACTAAGATCAGCCAGTTTTACTTTTTTTGTACTTTTTTATTTTCTGTTGTACTTTTTTTTCTTCCATTTTTCTTTGTTTTTTTTACATTTTACGAATCTATGTTGGAATAAAGAACTTTAAATTGTGACGGAATGGCCTAGTTGGTAGGACGTTGAGATCGCGTTCGTGAGTTTGAATCTCACCGGCCGAAGAATCCCCACGCATTATATAGTGAGTGGTGCACATTTAATCATTTTTCTGATAAATTAGTCTTCTGAAAAATATGAGTAATCATGATGTTTTTTAATTTATAATTGCTGCTCAAAGATATATTTTGATAAATTCAATAATGTAGTTACCGGTAAAAGCAATAGCAAAAATACCTGTCGGACATTAAAGGTGAGTGGTTGACGGACGTTGCTTCTGATAAAGTTTGATCGAGGAAACTGACTGACCTTGGTCTGTAGTAAGCTGTAGTGCAATTGAAGCTAAGAAGCGATTCAAACTTATAATAAGACTAAATTAAGGAATCTATAGCACCATTTTGCTCTTTTTAGCATTAGTTGCTATAAAATTGTAATTCCATGAAGTGCTAAGAATTATAAACTGTTAACATATATTACTTAATAATCTGCATTTTTTTCATTCAGGCAACAATGCATTCAACAGAAAATAAATTATATTTACTTCATTAAATTTTATGTAAAATTTTATTCTGTCAACGGAAGCAATTAAAGTAACGAATCTAAAATAATATTTAAAATTCTTAAGCTGTATTAAAAATTCTCTTTTTGTAAGATTGCCAAAAAGAGTTTTTGGCGATAAACATTTAACGAGTGTTCCAAGTAACCAAAAATTTAACAGAAGCTATAAAAAAATGAATTAGTGTTTGAAATTGCAATGATAACGGAGCAAAATGATGAGCTTAATGGCCAAAAACTAAACCCGAAGAATTAAATCTTTATTAATGGAATAAAAAATTACGGGATTTCTTATTTCAACACTTTTTAACTTTGATGTAACAATCTATTTGTCGTCCTAAAAAAAAACGTTGTACAGCAATTTTAGGTTTGCGAACGGGTGAAATGCTTTAATAACGCAACCTTTATGCATTAATTTAATAAAAATTTCTAAATATTGCAGACGATAATACATATAATTGACGATAAAGTTAATTTTCGGAAGACGAATATATAAAATATTTTTATGAAAAAAATAACAATAAAATTTACTTTCACTTACCTAATACTTTCTTTAATTTTTTTGTCGAACATTTGTCAATAAAATTCGAATTCCAAAGAACGACAATAATAACCGCTTTCACGCAGAGACGCATTGTGTCGATGCGGGTGCACTTATGGAACTCTCACTTTCATTTTCCTTTCATAAACGAGTACCCTCAGCTAGGCGCGCGACCCAAATTCATTTTTTTAAACATCCCTCACACCCTGTTCATTTTACACGGTCGTTTGCACCTGCCCGGCCAACGATTTCGGTGAACATAACATCCTATCTAAAGTGAAAACGATTTTAGAACTATTGTTATCCTATTTAATATCTTATTCCGTTATAGAAATAGTTTGCTTTAAATGCGGATGAGCTTTCAACTCGTAAAAATGGATGGCTTCATTTTGTCGTTTGGCGAAAATAAATCTTTTCATTGACTTTTATAGAACGTTATAAAAAAAGATGTTTACTATTTTAAGGAATAGGAAAAAATAATTAAAATGCGATGTTTGATCGTTTTAATTGGAAATATTTTTAGCGAAATTAAATAGCGTCACTCCACTACGATATTTACTATATTTTTTATTAACTAACTTCCATGCTTGTGCCATTAAAATTTTGCAGTACTTAAATATCAATCGTAATAACTTTAGGTTTGATTGCAGTACAAGTTTCAATCATTTCCTGACCGCTACAAAAAGAATTTATTGATAATCATCAAATATATTTAGTTGTCAGCAAAATTTTGACCACTTCTTAAGTAACTGGAGCACTCAAATCTCGTTCTCAATATAGTTTCTCGTTCGTAATGACAAAACAAGCTTCAATAGTTTCTTGGACATTACGGAAAAAAAACTTGCAACTCCACATTATGGTCAAAGAGACCTTATAGTATATCCAAATTTCGCCCAATTTCAGACTAGTAAGGGTGCTCAAAACTAAAGTGCTGTATAACAACATAAGTTACTAGCAAAATATATTGATCAAAAATCGAAATTTCGACGTCGTTTCTTACATAAATAAATCAAATTTGAAACTAAATACACAAAATTTTAAAAAATTTAAAAATTACGTTTTTCAAATAAACTAAAAAAAATAACAATATAAAAAGTGCTTCTCCTTAGAAATAAATTTCAATCACCACCAATAATTACTCCCCTCCCTGTCGTTTTTCAAAAGTGATGTGCCTTATGTTTTAAGTCTAAAAATCTAAAAGTGCTTCGCTATTACTTTTTAAACTACATAAAAAATTTATTTTCTAATATAACAATTACAATAAAACTACATAATTCTAGAACAATATTAGCAAAAGATAAATCCTTCTAAAATTCAAAAATAAAAACTTACTCAACTTTTTAAAATCTATTTCTGAACCGGAAACATAGGACAAAATAACCACCAGAAATATGCATTTTGAACCGAAACACATCTTTACACTTGAGAGTTCTTTGCTCGAAGGTTACATAAACTTATGCAATGAAATCATGAGTGACGGCCAAACGATTCCTTGGCGTTCAGTTAACGAACATCATTAATTTTTTCCACAAACTCATTTCGCGTAGCTCTTATTAATCGTCTGCTTCCTGTCCGTTAAGTACGAAAAGGGAAATGTTTACAGTCGTTGAAGAATATTTTGTTAAGGTCAAGGGTAATTTGAGTATTCCACTTTCGCAAAAGGGGAAAAAAACGTTCCAGAGTTTCCCCAAAAATGTTTTACGTTTTTGTAGAACGTTTTCCTAAAAGTGTTTATTGAAACTTGTGTAAATGATAAAAGTACAAAGCAATTTACATAAAGGTACAAAGCAATTTACAAAGCACTTCTGGATTCTATCAATTCCTTTAGATTAGATTAAATATAAACTTTAGTGAAACAATATCTGGAATTTACAATACAGTACCAAATTTAAACAATATAACAAACACTTTGTAAGATGATAAAATGGTGCTATAAACTAAATATGACTCAAAAAGTGAAAACTCTGAGATGCACTTCAAGGGAGTCAGATAAAAATTTAAAGTTTCATCAGATTTACTTAAAAGTTCCACAGCTTGCATAAAACAATTATTTCCACTTCGCGTAGAACTTTTCTCCTGTTACATTTATAGTTTCTGATTAACTATGCAAATAAAACACTGAGACCTCCTGGTCTTAGCTGTCTCGCCGATCCGTCAAACAGTCTGTAACGTTTAGGTAGCAGGTTTGAATACCAACCGCAATGCCATTTTATACAGATGCAACTAAGGCTATAGCACATTATCTAAACTAGAAAAAATTTATTAAAATAAGACAGTAATTAGAGACCAACAATTTGATTTCTTAAAAAATTTTGTTTTAATTTTTCTACTACTTTATTTGGTTATTTTTGTTGTTCTACTTTGTCATTTTACAATTAAGGCATTAATAAGTAAAATTAACAAACTTAACATTCCTAAACACGTTAATTTATTTCAAGAAAATTAACATTGACGCAAAATTGAGAAGAGAAATTTTTTTTATTATGTAGTTATTTGTCGACGTAATTCATTCCGATGCTGGATACTCACTATTTGAAGGTGTAAAAAAAATGTTTTGACTAAAAGTTTCAAAATTTATTCTGTGATAACTAAATAAAATTAATACATTTAAAATAATATGCAAATTTATGATAAATAAAAAAAAATGCCTCACGGTGCATTTTAAAGTCAATAGACTTAAAGTCAAAATTCTTATAATTTTAATCAATGCTTTTCAATATAATTAATTTGTAGAGTTAGGGGTGATAACTGACTTTTTAATTTTTAACAATTTCACTTTGTCTGTCAGGGGGATTTATACTCCGAAGACAATACAACCAGGCCAGTGCAATCGTTTCGGTTGAGCCAACCAGACCTGAAAATAATGCTGTTGTTGTTGTAGTTCATTTACGTCACACTAGAGCTGCATAATGGGCTATTGGCGACTGTCTGGGAAACATCCCTAAGGATGATCCGAAGACATGCCATCGCAATTTTGATCCTCTGCAGAGGGGATGGCTCCCCTGCTTTGGTAGCCCCAAAGACCTGCGCGCGAAGTCTAGTATTTTAACGGTCCCTACTCAAGCTGATCAAAGTGGTCACCCTTGTGGCTTACTAATCGCAGCCAGATGATGCTTGACTTCACTGTAATGCTGGGAACAGGGTCCTTACGATCGACCCACTACGGGACTTTCAATAATGGAATTAAAAATATTTAATTTGAAAAAAACACCAGAAAAATCAAGAAAGTAATAAATATTCATTTGTAAGCTGAATATTCTCATAAATACAAAATTTCAAAACTTCAATACTTTATTTCAAACATAAAAATAACATTTTTAAAAAAATCCCACGCATTTTTAACATACGTCACATGTGGGTCATATACAAGTTAAAATAATTGATAAAGCATATTCGTCAATAGTGTTAAAACGTATTAAAACAACAAAATGTCAACAACGCAAATCTCGCATTATCTAACAAAGCATTAAACTTCATTTTGGTCTACTTGCTGACATTCTAGCAGTCGTTAATAGTTAAATTAATTTTCTTATTGCCTTCAATTGCTTTGTCGTAAGAACCACACATAACTATTTCATTGCTAAGAGTTTCAGCACTGTACCTGTTAAATGAAAACAAAAATTTAACAATTAATATTATTGGTTTTTCAACTGTTTTCCTCATAAACAGTTAAAACAATTCTGATTCTAACTTTCCTTAGGACAAGTCTTCAACTCACCGTTATTACCCTTACGATAAAAAAAATTGAATTTTAAGCTTTGTTTTTATCGGACCTGGACTTTCCCTCGTTAGTTTTAAAAATTGGTGACGAACTTTTAGGAGATAGACAATGTTTTTTTGTTTTTTTTCTGTCGTATGCCTGTTTAGGCAGTGGGGATGCGATTGTTCCTGTTTTTCAGTGGCGCCATCTATGGCCAGTAATTCGTTTTCTGCCACGCCAGTCACACAACCAGTTTATAGGGCGGGTCACATTTACACACAAAGGAGAAAGGACATAGAACACACAGAGAGAGAAAGAAACATCCATGTCATGCCCGGGATTCGAACCCAGGACCTTTCTGATGCAAGGGCAGCTCCCTGCCCCCAACACGATAGACAATGTGATGTATGGATTAAGAAATTCATACCAAAAACACCAATCAAAACCAAACCAAAAATGAATCCCAAAATCAAAAACGCCAAGAAGTAAAGTAAAAGATCTAAAACGACACACGAGTGTGATTAAAAAAGTTATTTTTTAAACTAAAAAAAATTAGTAGGCTAATAATGTACTACTCTCAACTCGAGAAGAAGGCCGATGATACACAACCACCTGACCTATAACCTCAGCGATAGCGGGAGTGTGTTAACGTTGCAGCTGTTAACCTTGTTTTATTGTCGGCTTCTTTTCATTAATAAAGGAAAATTGCTCATTTATTTTGTTAAGTATTAATTACATTTTTATTGATTTATGAGAATTTATTACTTGCGTGTTTAGTGCACAATACGATAATCGATTAAGAGGTTGCATCGAATTCATATTAGACGGAATTTGAAATAGAATGGAAATTACATTCGCTAGCAAAAACAAATGCTACATATTAACAACCAATCAGGATCTGTTACCATGATGACGTCACTTGTAGGTATCCAATGGAATAAAAAAAAGTCAGGGTCAACTTGCTGCATTTGTGTTTAAAACTCAAAGTAAAGATGAGATTTCCAAGCTATATCTACTACTTTGCCATAAAGAACTATTTGGCTTTCAGTATAATCATATAGCTAATGTATTTAAAAAATTTAATATAAGGAGGCTGAAGAGATTTGAAGCTTAATCTAACGTAATCTGACATGATTACTGTTGTAAACTCATATACTATAAACAATTTAGGCGTATAATTGCCACCATTTTCGGTGTTTTAAAAGAATATACAAAATTAACAAAATAACAATGGTTTGAGAGAATTAGTCCGTATATATTATCAAAAATGTGCTTGTTTTATAAACGAAATGTTTTCGCAATGAAACCATTAAATTAATTCTAATGTGAACAAAAATATTGTTAGCAAACAAAAATTAATAAATAAATATAACTATAACAATGAAAAATCAAATAAAAAACGTGACAACATGCACTGTAAAACATTTTAGTTTTCCTCAATATGAAAAATTTTTAAAACTATGCACCAAAATGTTTTACTGTGTAGTTATAGAAATAGTATATTTTGCTAAAAAGCGTTATTTTATGTCCCCACAGCATGTTCCAAAAATAGTATTGTACGCCTACTTTTTCGGGGTATTGTACTTCCGAGAACAGCAAAATACTATTTACAACAAATCCTGTTTAAATATTTGAAAGGAAACCTTTAAAATCACTTGAATGTAAACTCGATACTTGATCGATATTTTCCTTTAAAAATATATTAGAATGTAACTTACATTGTTGTTGCTAGTGCGATAGGCATTATTTTTATTCTTTTCAAATTTGCCGTACTCTTTAACGCGGTTGTGTTGGCGTTCATTAAAGTATCAAACCAGAAGTTGGCTCCTTGTACGGCATCAATACGGAATCGACTTTTCGCCAAATACACGTAATTATCATCAGGTTTCATTTCTTTTGCTTTCCTGTAAAAATAAATGGAATAAATATAAAATACAAATTTAAATCTCTTCATTAAAATGTATCTATGCAGAGAATGTTTAATTCAATTCCATTTTAGGAAAGTTGTGCTGACCATACCATAATGTAAAAAATGAATGTGAAATAAAATTACAAGTTAAAATCATTGCATATTTTTTCACCTATTTCGCTCCATTGTCAGCAACACTTTTGTACAATCTGTTAAAAAAATAAATAAATACAAATTTAGCTTCTGAATCTATTGAAGACAATTTTCATTAAAATATATTTTGTATTCTACGCACAGCCTGGGCCAATTAGCCATGCACTGTCTTACTGCCCAATAATGACGCAAAAACCCAGAAGGGGAAGCATCCTCATTGCCAATATCTTTCCAATTGCATTATATTCACAGTCCTCGCACAACAGCAATAAATGAGCAATAGCAAAAGTAACGGCAATGTATATGTAATTCCAAAAGTAACAACAATATATAAGCAATTCAAAATGTAACAGCATCATGTAAGCAACAGCAAAAATAACAGCAATATGTTACACTGTAAAAACATTTTGTATATAGTTACCACCATCTTCAGTGTTGAGATAAACTAAATTTATTTTCAAGTACGTGCAAAAAAATTACATGAAATTTAAAAAATAACCATTGTTTGAAGGAATCAGTGTGAATATATTGCTAAATATGCGATTGTTTTTTTTAAATAGATTTTTTTTAATAAAGCCATTAAGTAGATTCTAATGCACGTAAAAACAAGTGATGTCAGTAAACAAATAAAATATTAATAAATAAAACTAAAAGTGAAGTAAATGTGACTATTTGCACTGTAAAAAGTTTTAATTTACCTCAACACCAAAAGTGGTGGCAACTATGTATTGAATATTTCTACAGTGTAAAGCGTATTAAGATTTAATCTATGCGAGTGCTAAATCAAGTACAGTTGATTTAGCACTCGCATCCTTTTACTCAGATGCGCTAAACTGTAAAATAAATGTAAAATAAAGAAACAACAATATGAGTATTTACATAGAATTTATATAATTAATATTTTGATCTCCGGATAGTGACTTAAGGTAAAATTAAATAGTAAAATGGACACAGATAGGGCAGCGTTGAAAGTGCTCACTTTTCAATGTCAGTAGCTGAGATCAATCTGCAATGTCTACTTGAAAAGAGAAGTTTATTTTAACAAGTGATAAAGATGATTCACAGCTTTTTTTTATTTTTTTCAAGGTATTGCTTGAATTTTTATAACTCTAAATTTTTTATTAAATACCGCGTAGTAGTACAAATTATTTTGAAATTGCTATGATTTTGGCTATCGGTGCTCATACACGAGCAAATTGTTTTTTGTGTCTATATTCAAGTGGTCTTCCATAATAAAAGAGTGAGAGCATCTGCTTCTAGGGAGAGAGAGATTATTGGAATAATTATGTAGTTCAGTGGTTCCAAATTCTTTTTCGGAAATGGAACCTTGATTTTCCTATCTTTCGGCGGAACCCTGACTTCATAAACAAAAATCATAAAAACAAGCGTAAATCATAAAAACAACCAAATAAATACTACTTCATTTTTTGAATATTTAATAAAAGGAGTGAAAGCCGCGGTGGCTCAGGAAATAGAACGTCCTAGTGCTGATACACACACCAATCATGGTTTACGAATTTTCCTTTGGCAGTGTGGAATAGCATCGATTTCGTGTGCAATTTTGCTTTAACGAAATTAAATATCTATAATGCAAGTACGTTAGTATAATCAAAGACAATTTTTGTTCTGTGCTTATTCAATCAAACTAAATAAAAAATAGTAAATTTCGTATTATACAAATACTTGTCGTCAAGTCTCGTCTTTCTTCCGTCGTGGGCTTCCAGCTCCAATCGAATAACGCCTCTATTGACACCTGATCTTTCCCTCCGAGAATTATCATTCGTCAAATTTTTTCCAGATTCTGTTTCAACAATCACTTGGAACTGAAAGGCTAAAAAGAAAAATTGTAAAAATGTCTGATTTGTAGGAGTAACTTTACTGTAGAGCGTTTTTAAAATTCCTAAAAAGATGACTTCTTTAGAAATTGTTAATCCAGTTTTTGTCACAAATAAATGTAAAAACGTGAAATTTAAATTAACAGTTTTAAAGGCTTAAGGTGAATATTTTACTTTATAGCTTTACATATAAATCACAGTAACGCTTGAAAATCATTATGACAAATATATATTAGCCATATAATTTCAATCCTTTTTCCTGATCCGCGATGCCTTAGAGGATAGAACATTTACCTTCCAATGAGGTGAACCGACTTCGTATCCCAGCGATGACTGGTCGATACGAATTCCGCATACAGCTTACACTGACCACAGTGCTGACGTGAAATATCCTCAGTGGTAGATGGAGCGACTAGAGTCCCCTTGACGTTAGGCTAATCATGGAAGATTTTCGTGGGTTTCCTCTCCATGTGACGCAAATGTGGGTAAGTCCCATCAAAAAGTCCTCCACGAATGCGAATTTCTCCCAATACTTGATCCAGGAGTTCCCTCGTCTTGGTTTCACAATAACAAGGCTGCGGAGTTGAACATTAGCAGACGTAAACCCAAAAAATTGGGTCGGCTGTTCAACGTCAATTATAAAATAAAATCTCTTTGTTATTCTCATTATTATATACTGGTATATTTCAAACTCAGCATAAAATGATCGATAAGTGTACCATTTTATTGAAAAAATATCTGGTGATATGAATGATTTATGAAAAGTTTTGAACAATTTGTCATGTACGCACCTTCTATAAATCTTGTACATTTTCTCTTGTGATCGCATAAGAAAGAATGTTTTTCATGCGCATAAACTGCTTTATTATTTGGCATTTGTTCCCAAATTGCGAAGTTCATAAATTAATAATCAAAAGGTATCTTAATATGAGTTTTTTTTTTAATTTTTAACCATTTGTGCAATGAAATGTTGCCTTTAAAAATAAAAAAGACAGTGAACAGTCCAGAGTTTTTGAAAATAGATCCCTGTACAAAAGTACAAGGAGTTTTCAGAAACTGTATGTTGGGGGATCTGAAGTCATACCTTTGTTATGCAACTTCCCGTTTTGTTTATCAGAATCAGCCGCCCAGACCATGCAATTCAATAAATTTAGTTTCTTAAATCTAATGTTAATGGCAACAACATTTTAACCAACCGCGACTTGAAGCAAATCAAGAACTCTATCGGGAGCATTCCACTTCATTTATGCAAAACGATCGATAAAAATTTCAGTAAAAATAACCTCATGTATTACGAAATTCGTGAAGGTAACTATTCTGTATATTAAATAAATCAATAAACAATTCTCAATTTTTCTTTAAAAATCGGCGTTTTCAATCAAAATTACTTACTGGATAAATTTCAGGAAATCCTGTTGTATGCATTCGAAGCACTTGAAAAAACGAGTTTTTCTTAAAGTATCTATATGGTTTACAGGCCATTAAGGCAAGGGATACGTGTGTTCTTGTTTTCAAGTGGCGCCATCTATAGTCAAAAAGTTCACTTCTGCTGCACCCATATATCTCACCAGTTTATAGCGCGAACCCATTCATTCATTCTTTCCAGATCGTAATTTTGACCTGTAGCAGGGAACGATCAATATCCAATTCAATATTTCACAGATATGATTTGTTATCGAAGACTTTGTGACCCAACAGATTTAACGTGCTCTAGCCACCCTTTTCTATACGGGGAGTCTTCGGCCGGCTAGATTCGAACTCCTATTCTCAACTAGCGTGAGTTCAGGGCCCTACCAACCAGGCTATCCCGGACCCACATGGTTTATATTATTCCTAGGTCGGCCAGGTGGCCGAGTGGTTAGCGTGCGTGACTGCAAAGCCAATGGCTGTGAGTTCGAATCCCGCTCTGGGCATTGATGTTTCTCTCTCTCTGTGTTGTGTTCTGATGTGTGAATGTATGAATGTGGCCCACCCTATAAACGGGTATTTGTGGCAGTGTGGCGTGGGTAATGTTGCTCGCCTCCGTAACTTTGGTTCACAGGTGCCCACTGGGTAATGATAAATGAGCAACACTTCCGGCATCTTCTAAGGCGAAGAATAAAAGTTCAGTGCCTGCCGTTATTTAAAAAAAAATTTTAAATATTATTCCTAGAAATAATACTTACTGCAAAATGGTTCTTCTTCAAAGGTCTGCACAAAATATTCCCTGTTGCTGATCTGCGTGTCAGAGAAGAAGTCACTGTTGTAGCCCATAAAAGCGCAACCACTGAGGGAGCAATCAGCACATCTCCCTGCAGAAAATGAGTTCCAGTCACCGCAGGCGACGGCTACATGCTGGCATGGAATATCTCTGGAAGAATTAGATGAGGTCACAGGCTGGATACTCTCAATATAATACTCCACTGCACGATAATGATCACATGTAAGATAGTACCTTAGACCTGAATGAAAAGAGTTATAGAGATAGTACTTTAAATTTAAAAAGATATGATAACAGGTCAGATAGTTCCTTAGACTTAAATGAAAACAGTTAGAGATCACAAAGTATAGAGGTATTTTAAGTATAGAGTTATAATGATCGCATGTCAGATAGTACCCTAGACCTGAATGAAAAGAGTTAGTGATCACAAAAGATATTACTTTAAAAAGATATGATAACAGGTCAGATAGTACCTTAGACCTAAATTAAAAGAGTTAGAGATGACAAAGGATAGTATTTTAAATATTAGGAAATATAACGATCGCAGGTCAGATAGCATCTTAGACCTAAATGAAAAGAGTTACAGAGATCAGAAAAGGTAGTACTTTAAATATAAAGAGATATGACCACAATATATAGTACCTTACACCTGAATGAAAAGAGAGATCACTAAAGATAGTATTTTAAATATTAAGAGTTATAATGATTACAGGTCAGATAGTACCTTAGACCTAAGTGAAAAGAGTTAGAGTTAACAAAGACGCCCGGTGGCTGAGTGGTAGCGCTTCGCGTTCCCGTGCCACAGGTCCTGGGTTCGATCTTCGGGCCGGGCAAAATTGGCTCAGCCTTTCATCCCTTCAGTGAGTCGATAAATGAGTACCAAGCATGCTTGGGAACTAAACACTGGGGGTTCCGTGTTCGGCTGATCACCTAACCGGAACTCTTGCACCCCAGAGCCCAAGAAAACTAAAATGGGCACAGTCGGCTTTGGCTCTCAATGGGTTGTCACGACACTAAGATAAGTTTATTTGTTATATTATGCGTAAAAACTTGTAAAATTAGCAAAAAAAAATATCATTTTTACTATTTTATTTTATATGATCATTTTTCGATAAAAAATAAGGCATTTTTTTGTATATACGCTAAACACTATAAACAAATTTCTATCTCCTAAAACGAAACAATCCTTTAACTATTTTATTTAGAAAGCTATCAACTATGCTTTGAACTGTTATCTTAAAAGCAAGTGCATATACTACTGAAACAGGGATCAATGTAGTTAAAAAAGGAAATTTTTTTAAAATTTTCGCACTTGTCCTTGCGAAAAAACATGCATTAAAAACACTTATGAAAAATTATTTTTATTGAGATAATTATTTTCAAACATGAAATTGCCTGTTTAAGGTGGTGTAAAATGTGAAAAAAATCTAATCTATAGATAAACGCATTTAAAGACTTAAAATCACTAGTCCATCCACTGTTATCACCTTGCACAAAAACTGCTATAACTTTGCAAATACTTGTAGTACAAAGAANCGATAAACAGCTTTCTGAATCATCGACTCGTTGCTGTTTTTGTTCCATCGAAAGCAATCGCGGCACCCACTTGGAAAAAACCTTTTTCATGCTCAATTTTTCATGAAGGATAGTAAATACACTTCCATATGATATCTGTGTCATCTCAGCAATCTCACGGAGCTTCACTTTACGATCTTTCATTATAATTTTTGTCACTTCACTCACATTTTCCGGTGTAACGGCTTCCACAGGTCTACCCGAGCGTTCCGCGTCATTTGTGTCGGTACGACCACGTTTAAACTCGACAAACCACCGACGAATCGTTGCTTTTGATGGACAAGAGTCCGGGTAACATTTGTCAATCCATTGTTTCGCTTGCACGGTGTTTTTACCCATTAAAAAACAATGTTTTATCAGAACACGAAACTCTGTTTTTTCCATTTTTTAAACAAACTACAAAACGACTTTACTCCAACCTCGATAACTCAGCTGTTTCTGGTCCGATCGACTTAAAGTTTTGACACGTTTCAAGCAAAGGTTAGTACTCAAGAAAGATCTGGTTACTGGTTTACTACGAGCGCCATCTCTGGGTTAGTCTCGGAACTTATTGATCCATGTGTTATATATTAAATATTTTTACAGTATTAAAATTCAACCCACGCGAGTGATAAATCAAGAGACGTTGATTTAGCAATTTCATCATTTTACTCGCATGTACTTAACTGCAAAATAAAAGTAAAATTAAAAGAAAAAACACTATACGAGTATTTACATGGAATTAAATAATTAATATTTTGATCTATGGATCGTGGTATAAGGTAAAACTATGAGATTACACGCAGAGAAGGCAGGAGTAAAAGGATAAAGTGCTCACTTTTAAATTCCAGTTGTTCAGATCAATCTGCAATATCTACTTGAAAAGAAAAGTTCATTTTTACAAGTGATAAAGATGATACACAGCTTTTTTATTTTTCAGGGTATTGCTTGAACTTTTATAACTCTAAATTTCTTATTATGTGTTGTAGTAGTACAAATTACAGTCAAACCCCCACTATAGTGAACACTGTTTATACTGAACTCCCGGATATAGTGAACGAAATGTTCGTTCCCGTGCCTTGCTATATACGTGTAATGTTATTTTTTGTGGATATATTGAACTAAAAAAGTGAGGAAGTTGGATATTATGAACTTTTTTCTGTCTTCGACTGATTTTTTTTTCTTCATTTTTTTTAAATAATTTTGAAATGTCTACTTCAAAATAAATACTTATACTGATTTTTAAAACCCTCTATTGAGCGGAATGTAGCGATAAGCATTTTCTCTTGTTTTGCTTCTTTTATCACACTTTTCCATCCCTAAACAAAGACCTACCCAGGGAGATGTATGGACAAATTTTTCAGCTAAAGATTGCAATTTTTTTTTGTACTCAAGACGAAGAGTAATAAGAAATAAAAGCAAGTTAACACATTTCGTATTACTACCTATTATTTTTCAGTCATTTTTGTATTTCATTTTATGGGTCATTTATTAAAATAATGTATTTATAAGAAGGAGTTCGGAATCTTTAGTTAAAATTGTTTGCGGAACGGATATAGTGAACTCCCGGTTATAGTGAACAGACATTTCGGTTCCTAGAAGGTTCACTATAGCGGGGTTTGACTGTAGTTTAAAATTGCCATGCAGATTTTTCTAAAAGCGTCTATATTCAAGTGGACTTTCATAACAGAAGAGTGAGCATCTGCTATTTGGGAGAGAAAAAGTCAGTAACACCCTAAACCAGAGGTTCCCAATTCTTTTTAGGGAATGGAACTCTACGATCATTCGCGGAACCCTGACTTCACAAACAAAGTTTATAAAAACAAGCTTAAATGTATTAACAAATAAATATTACTTTATTTTTTTAATATTTAAACGTGAAATAGAATAGGTGGCTCAGGAAATAGAACGTCCTAGTGCTTATACACACACCAATCATGGTTTACGAATTTTCCTTTGCAGTGTGGAATTGCATCGATTTCGTGTGCAATTTTGCATTAACGAAATTAAATAACTATTGCAAGTACGTTAGGAAAAATCAAAAACAATTTTTTTCTATGCTGTATTCTATCAAACTGAATAAAAAATAGTAAATTTCGTATTATGCAAATACTTGTCATCAAGTCTTGTCTTTCTCCCGTCGTGCGCTTCCAGCTCCAATCGAATAACGCCTCTATTGACACCTGATCTATCCATCCGAGAATTATCGTTCGTCAAATTTTGTCCAGATTCTGTTTCAACAATCACTTGGAACTGAAAGGCTAAAAAGAAAAAATTATTAAAATGCCTGATTTGTAGGCGTAACTTTACTGTAGAGCGTTTTAAAAATTTCTAAAAGGATGACTTCTTTAGAAATTGTTAATCCATAGTTTTGGCACAAACAAATGTAAAAACGTGAAATTCAAATGAACAGTTTTAAAGGCTTAATGTGATTATTTTACTTTATAACTTTTTATATAAATCGCAGTAGTGCGTGAACATTTTGGAAAATATGTATTAACCATATTATTTCAATCTATTCGCTAGAACCGTGATGGCTCAGGGGATAGTTTGTTCGCCTTCCAATGAGGTGAACCGGCTGTATATTGCTGTATACTGAATGCTGTATATTTAATGAATCAATAAACAATTCAATTTTTTATTAAAAATTTGTGTTCACAATCAAAATTAATTTTTAATGTAAATTTCAGGACATCCTGTTGCATAACCTACTGCATTCTAAACACTTGCTAAAAGGCGTTCATTCTTTCACAGATCGTATTTTTGACCTGAAACAGGGAACGACCAATATCCAATTCAATACTTCACAGATAAGATTTGTTATGAGAACATCGAGGACTTTGTGACCCGATAGATTTAACGTGCTCTAGTCACCCTTTTCTATACGGGAAGTGTTCGGCCGGCTGGATTCGAACTCCTGTTCTCAACTAGCGTGAGTCCATGGCCCTACCAACCAGGCTATCCCGGACCCACACGGTTTACATTATTTCTAGGCCGGCCAGGTGGCCGAGTGGTTAGCGTGCGTCACTGCGAAGCCAATGTGTAAATGTATGAATGTGGCCCACCCTATGAACGGGAATTTGTGGCAGTGTGGCGTGGGTAATGTTGCTCGCCTCCGTAACTTTGGTTCACAGGTGCCCACTGGGTAACGATAAATGAGCAACACATCTTCTAAGGCGAAGAACGAAAGTTCAGTGTCTGCCGTTATTTATAAAAAATTTAAAAAAGTATTATTCCTAGAAATAATACTTACTACAAAATGGTTCTTCTTCAAAAGTCTGCACAAAATATTCTCTGTTGCTGATCTGCGGGTCGGAGAAGAAGTCACTGTTGTAGCCCATAAAAGCGCAACCACTGAGGGAGCAATCAGCACATCTCCCTGCAGAGAATGAGTTCCAGTCACCGCAGGCGACGGCTACATGCTGGCATGGAATATCTCTGGAAGAATTCGATGGGGTCACAGGCTGGATACTCTCAATATAATACTCCACTGCACGATAATGATCACATGTAAGATAGTACCTTAGACCTGAATGAAATGAGTTATAGAGATCACAAAGGATAGTATTTTAAATATAAAAAATGTAACAATCACAAGTCAGATAGCATCTTAGACCTGATTTAAAAGAGTTATAAACATCACAAAACGAAGTACGTTAAATATAAAGAGATATAATGACCACAACGTATAGTACCTTAGACTTGAATGAAAAGAGAAATCACGAAAGATAGTATTTTAAATATTAAGAGTTATAATGATTACAGGTCAGATAATACCTTAGACCTACATGAAAAGAGTTATAACAAAGACGCCCGGTGGCTGAGTGGTAGAGTTTCGCACCCCCGTGCCACAAGTTCTGCGTTCGATCTTCGGGCCAGGCAAGGTTGACTCAGCCTTTCATCTCTTCAGTGAGTCGATAAATGAGTACCAAGCATGCTTGGGAACTAAACACTGGGGTCTCTGAGCTCGGCTGACCACCTAACCGGAACTCTTGCACCCTAGAGCCCAAGAAAACTAAAATGGGCACAGTCTTTGGCTCTCAATGGGTTGTCACACCACTAAGGTAAGTTTATTTGTCTTATTATGCGTAAAAACTTGTAAAATTAGCAAAAAAAATATCATTACTACTATTTTCTTTTTATATGACCATTTTTGGATTTAAAAAAAATAAGGCATTTTTTTGTATATATGCTAAACACTATAGACAAATTTCTATCTCCTAAAACAAAACAATCCTTTGACTATTTTATTTAGAAATCTATGCACTATGTTTTGAACTATTATCTTAAAAGCAAATGCATATACTACTGAATCAGGGATCAATGTAGTTAAAAAATGAATTTTTTTTGAATTTTCGCACTTGTCTTTACGAAAAAACACTTATGAAAAATTATTTTTATTGAGATAATTATTTTCAAACATGAAATTGCCTGTTTAAGGTGGTGTAAAATGTGAAAAAAATCTAATCTATAGATAAACGCATTTAAAGACTTAAAATCACTAGTCCATCCACTGTTATCACCTTGCACAAAAACTGCTATAACTTTGCAAATACTTGTAGTACAAAGAAAAACAAAATATAATTAGAAACCAAAGAGTACGGGGATTATAAATTTATACTAAACTCATTTTCAAAAATTTTGCCCAAAATCATGTTTTTGCACTAAATTTTGGGATTTTATCTTAAAAGTTATTTCAAGTTTAAACAATGCCATTTGTATTAAAAACAAGTTTCTTTAAAAATGATCTATCTCTGCTGAAAGAACATTGTTTAATTAGTAACACATTGTTAACTATATGCCAAGAAAACTTTTCATTGTTGCTATGTAACAATTGCTAAACAATATACAAACGATTATAACAATTATATGCATTGTTTAACAGTGAAATCCTCATTTCTAAAGTTTATGAGCTATCTGTAGGTGATTATTTTACGGGAGCTTAAACTTGATTAGAAAAATGGCAAAAGTGCTGAGATTTTTGCGAAAAAGGCTGTAAGTATCAGATATTAGTAATATCATCTTATACTAGTATTAATGTAATTATTTATTTTCCATAAAAAATATATTTCACCTCCAATAGAAAATCAGCGCTAGCTTAAACTTCAATTTTAAACTTAACCGTAAATAGTAATCCAATTAAATAGCTTTGGGCACTTTTATAAGAACACTTATTTCAGTCGTAATGTTTACTAAAATCTATAGTTATCTATTAACTTTTACGAATAATGTACACAAAGGTGAGTTTCACTGAGTGTATATATGCTGATTTATTTATTTACTTTTAGCGCAAAGGTGTTTAAGGAGAAGGGTGAAGGTTCGGATGAGAATTATTTCGAAATAAGAGATTGGGATGAAGTTCTGAAAGAACAAATGATGGCTGAAATGCCAATTGGAGAGTCTGAGAAGACTCATGAGAATGTCCTTGAGTGGGACAGAGATAGACAGTCTGAGATGACTGATGAAGATGCAACTCTTGAGGAGTTCGATATGGCCACCAATGAAAAGTTTGAGTTGCGAGATTGGAACGAAGTACTGAAAGAACAAATGGTGGCCGAAATAAGTGTTTCTGAGAAAGCTCATCAGAATAAAACTCTTGAGGAAACTACCGTTTCCAATAAGAGAGAATGCAAAAATGCTCTTATGTATGGGGCTATTGATGAGCTGGATAAAATTGAAACACTGGAGCAAATGATGCTCTGGTTGATACGCTGGTGAGAATTTAAAAACAAACTTTCAAAAAACAGTTTGATGTGCAATGATACAAATGATACGCTCAAACAAATTACTCACTGGTTGATACGCGGGTAAAAATTTCGAAGAGAATTTTATAACTTCTGATAATTATGTTAAGAAAAGGCTAACGATGATTAAACTGTTTATATTTTCTATTGTAATAACTGATCTATATGCTTAAATAAACAGTTAATTAATTAGTATTTCTCCTGTATTTTTTTTAAATTCTATTCATAATTTCAAAATATAAGTCTTTTAAGAAATTTTTATTACATAATGCTAAGAGTCATGGTCTTTGGTAAAATCCTACAATACCTCACCTCTTGGCGACTTTTAGAAATCTCGCCAAGTTTACCAAGTCGGTGATCATTACTGGGATCAACATTGCGTGTTGATCAATTCAACAGGTAACATGTAAGATAGTACCTTAGACCTGAATGAAAAGAATTATAGAGATCAGAAAAGGTAGTACTTTAAATATAAAGAGATATAATGACCACAACATATAGTACCTTAGACCTGAATGAAAAGAGAGATCACGAAAGATAGTATTTTGAATATTAAGAGTCATAATGATTACAGGTCAGATAGTACCTTAGACCTGAATGAAAAGAATTATAGAGATCAGAAAGGATAGTACTTTAAATATAAAGAGATAATGATCACAGGTCTGATAGTAACTTAGAGATATAATGATCACAACATATAGTACCTTAGACATGATTGTATAGAGTTATAGTAATCATAAAAGATAGCGTTTTAAATATAAAGAGTTAGACCTGAATGAAAGGAGAGTAAATAAGACGTATTTATAACCTAATAGTGTGGCAGTAGTAGGGGAGAGTGGGGTCAATTGTAACAGGGTACGATTGTAACAGAGCAAAAATTTCGAGTGTCGGGTTATAGANTATTACATAATGCTAAGAGTCATGGTCTTTGGTAAAATCCTACAATACCTCACCTCTTGGCGACTTTTAGAAATCTCGCCAAGTTTACCAAGTCGGTGATCATTACTGGGATCAACATTGCGTGTTGATCAATTCAACAGGTAACATGTAAGATAGTACCTTAGACCTGAATGAAAAGAATTATAGAGATCAGAAAAAATAGTACTTTAAATATAAAGAAATAATGATCACAACATATAGTAACTCAAACCTGAATGAAAAGAATTATAGAGATCACAAAGGATAGTACTTTAAATATAAAGAGATAATGATCACAGGTCTGATAGTAACTTAGAGATATAATGATCATAACATATAGTACCTTAGACATGATTGTATAGAGTTATAGTAATCATAAGAGATAGCGTTTTAAATATAAAGAGTCAGACCTGAATGAAAGGAGAATAAATAAGACTTATTTATAACCTAATAGTGTGGCAGTAGTACTGTATGCAAAACAAAACATAATAATTTCCAATGTATTGAAATGCAATATTTATTATTCGAAAGACAACAAGGTTATGTGTTTTTCAGGGTATAGTGGTAAGGTTAATAATGGCTTTGGGGTAAGTAGTTAAAACTGATTGTTCGATCTTGATAACAATTTTCAAATTGCTGCCACACTTAAGGCCTGAAGAAGGTAAACTCTAAGTTGGTAAATTTTCAGTTCAGAAAAAGATTATAATTACCGTTAAAAAGACCAGCACTCGGAAAGATGGAGAATGGCGAGTGTTTACAACCAGGTTGATTATTGCCGCCGTTTGGATAAAAGTCTAAATGACCAACTCTTGTCCGCATACCTAACCCTAAAATAATAAAGTTTAAATTATTCATCAAAAAATTAACTCTTTAACGAATAGTTACAAAATTGCAAAAAAAACAAGTGAATTAAAACTAAAGACATAGCGTGATATTCTGTTGAGACTCAGCTTTCAATACATTAAACATTTGGTATAATTTTATCACTTAAAAAATATAAGGATTTTATTTCTGTCTGTATGCCTTTACAAAGCAATGTAAAAAAATTATAATTGTTTAATATAACTACAGTAAGGCATTCCCGTGGGCCAGGGGGCTCAGAGGTTAAGGCTCTTCAATTTTAAGACCAACTTCATGACTGTGACAATGTGGTCAGCACTGCGCACAAGGCCGCCTTTACTCCCCAGACAAGGCTTCAAGTCACCACCGGTGATCGAACCCCAGTTCTCCTCAATAACAGTTAAATGCCTTAACCAATGAGCCCCCGCGGCTGTGTTTATTTCAACTACAATGAAAAATTATAAGAAAGATAAGAAATTAGTTTCAAATAACTCATTGGACAAGTTTTTTAAGGCAATTATGACTCTCATTATTTGAATCTAGTGGATTTTGTTTTATGACCAAAATGTGACGAAATATGCTGTAAAGATATTCTATAATATGTAAGAGAAATATTAAAAATGTTTCTTTTCTTTTGCAATAAAGAAAAAAAATTAAGTTTACTTAATTGAGCATTTTTTTAATAATTATCCAGCATTAATAAAGAGCAAAAGTCCACACCATTTGGAAATTTTTAATTCATAAAAAAAATTATTTTAATGAAGAAAATATTTTTTATCGCTCGTTAACTCCGTAACATTTTCTTTTTTAAAAGAAAAGGGACCTGAGCTTATGAGCCAATTCTAATAATCTCAAAACTAGACAAATCAACAACCTTCACCTCAGTGTGAATTAGCACAATTTTACATTATCACCTCAAATGCTACTAACAAGGGAAACTAGGGAAGTGTGACTCGCCAATTTTGAAATAAACTAGTGGGATGTATGCCTTATGAGGAATAATTTTAGGGAGAAACATTCGTTTCGGCCCATAGAAGGTTCTGTGAAAGATAAAAATAATTCAATATATGCAAAAATCGGTATTTTATTACTTTAATGCAGACTATTAGTTATTGTAATTGTCTCATACTCCAATTAATTTTGTGGTACATTCACGTACTGTATAATGCATATTTATTGTCAAAATTGATTTCGAAAATTTTATATATCTGTAGTTTTTCAGAAAAACCTGTTAGGTCAATTTAAAAAAAAATTTTACATCAAATTTTTTAATTTTTTTTCCAAAAAACTTTCCAAATTAATTGGAGTATGTAATTGCAAATCAATTAATTAATTAACAATTAATTAATAATTAATTAACAATTTATTAATTATTAATTAATTTTCTGATTAATTTATCAATTAGCAAATTAATTAATTATTCAATTAATTACAAATTAATTGGATTATGAGACAATTACAATAACTAATAGTCTGCATTGAAGTAATAAAATACCGATTTTTCTATACATTGAATTATTTTTTATCTCTCACAGAACCTTCTATGGACCGAAACGAATGTTGCCCCCTAAAATTATTCCTCATAAGGCATACATCCCACTAATTTATTTAAAAATTGGCGAGTCACACTTCCCTAGTTTCCCTTGTAAGCCAAACCTAAAACATTACAGAGATGAATTTTTATTTTTTTTTCATATAAAAAAATTGGCCTTTAGTAAAATCATAAAAAATATAGACGAATTTGCTGAAAAAATAACGATTAAACTAAAGCATCGAAGTGCTATATTAATGAGTCTTAAGTCATCGAAATTCATATTTTTCATAGTAAATGTGCATAAAATTTTGCCCTAGCCAGTTTATTAAAATAAGTTCTTATAACATATATAAAATAAGTTATATGTAAAATGATATATAAAATAAGTTAATTATACACGCACCTTGCATTTTTAGAATAAATTTAAAATCCAGTGTGTTATCGACAACGAAAAAATATATCTTAAAAACAAAATAAGGTTAAATTTACCGGGAATGCTAAGGCTAAAAGTTCGAAAAGCAACGCAAAAATTGATCATTTAAATAGTTAATGTATTTCATACTTTGCATTATTTTCAGGTCTTGTTGGCTAAACCAAAACGATTGCACTGGCCTGGTTGTATTGAAATTGTTAGTGAAATTGTTAAAAATTAAAAAGTCAGTTATCACCCCCAACTCTGCAAATTAATTACATTGAAAAGCATTGATTAAAATTATAAGAATTTTGACTTTAAGTCTATTGACTTAAAATTCACCGTGAGACATTTTTTTTATTTATCATAAATTTGCATATTATTTTAAATGTATTAATTTTATTTAGTTATCACATATTAAATTGTGAAACTTTTAGTCAAAACATTTTTTTTCACCTTCAAATAGTGAGTATCCAGCATCGGAATGAATTACGTCGACAAACTTGGCATCACTTGGATCTAACCTGTCTTCTACTGGCATTTGGTAGAATCTTGGATAGGCAGGATCTAATGCTACAGTAATGATAGACCTTTTAAAATTGATTGAACATAAAGTTTAATGGAAGTAGTTCCTAAAGCGACTGTACTGCCGATCACGAACATAAATATATGTTTTTTGAAAACCGGAACCAGTGAACCACGCTCCGAATTCTTTGAACTGCTTCATGAAGACTGGGATGGCCTGGCTGTTAGATGGCCCCGAGTCCGAGAGGTCGTGAGTTCGATTCCCCGTCAGGCGAATTCTCCCCGTGTACAAAAGGGTAACTGGTGCACGCTAAATCTGTCGGGATCACAAAGTCCTCCATTTTCCCAGAACAAATCTATACTTCTGGAGGGTACTGGATCGGAGATTGATCGAGCTCTGGTTCAGATCAAAATTACGGTCTGTTGATGGAGGGTGCGTAAATGCGTCCTCCTTGTAAAACGGGATGTGGCGTATGTATAGCTCAGGTATGTTTCCCAAACTATCTTCAATAGCTCATTGTGCAGCTCTAGTGTGACGTCGTTGTTGTTTCTAATGGCACTTGTCAAATACCATCAAGCTTGTTTAGTAGAACCAAGCGAATTTAAGGCAAAGGGTGCATTTCTTGTTCTTCAGTGACGCCATCTATAGCCAAGAATATGACAGTCTCACACACGTGACAGCCCGTTTAGAGGAAAACCCAATTCATACATTCATTTATTAATCCACAGATCGTAATTTTGGCCTTACCCATAGAACAATCAATCTCTAAATCTGTACACCCAGAGGTATTGATTTGTTAAGGGAATATAAGGGACTTAATGACCAGATAGATTTAATGTGCACCAGTCGCCATTTACTACACAGGGAGTCTTTAGTCGGAGGGGATCAACCTCTCACTGACCTCTGACCGAACTCACGACCTCTTGGACGCCGTACCAACCAGTGTGTTCCGGACTTCTCTAGCGCGACATAAATTACACATACCGTACCTTTTACTGTTTCATCTTCGACTACAATTAACGAAGGGTAATGATTTTAAAAACTCGAAGCATGCTCCTTGACTTCTGGTTTCAGTGAACATTTAGTGTTATCATTTCAAATGTTATTAACTAAGTCTGACGCAAAATAAAGTGAAAGGGGAATCACTGAAATTTAGAACCTGTATTTACTTGCAGGATTAGACTTTATAAAACAATTTAGTTACAGGGCTAGAAATTAATTTAGAACACTTAATGCATCCAAATCAAACAATATCAACTAAGTCTGACGAGAAACTAAAATGAAGGAAGAATTCACTTGATTTTCATATGTAACGACAGAAATGGAATTTTTCTCTAAAGAAAAGAAAAAAAAATTGTAGAGCATTCAAAGTCTATTTTTATTATACTCAAAATTATGGTGGTTTTAATCTCAATTGAATGTAAAGAAACAGTTTTGAACTGGTGCTGAGTGAAACACTACATCTGAAGCTCCCTGAAGTTTGGTGTCGGGTTTGAAGAATTAGTAGCAGTGAGAGGTAACATTGTTGCAGCACTTTTAAAACATCTATATTTTATTTTTACATAGGTCAAACATTTTTAAGAGAAATAAACATTTGAGAAAATCTGAACAACTTCAAAGTAATTACTTATGGTAATAGTAGTTTGGAAAAATGAACTGATTAGTTCATTTTCCAAGTTTAAAGAAAGGGAAGTTACAATTCCCGGATTAGCAAATATATTTTATAGGTTTGTCATGCTCTACTTTACAAAATTTTTCTCTTTTTCGTAAATTAAGATTTATTTTCACTAATCGAATAGTTTTTTTTTTCAATAAAACAATGGAGTAGAGGAAAATCTTCACTATCCGGAGTTGAATCTGATTGAACTTTTAGTTTTTACGAACGCACAGTTTATATAATTTCGCTGCCGCGGCTTTTACAGTACACCTTTAGATATTTAGTATACGATCAAATAATATCGAAAGAAACAGCAAGAGAATATATAGTGCTTGGCAAAAAATTTTTGCGAAATAATTATAAATTTATATAAATTATATTAATACTATGAAATTTTAAAAACAATATGGGAAAGGTATGTTACCAGTTATTCTTCCAATATTTGAAATTGCATGGCCTACTTTGGCGGCTATGTGACTACCCATGCTGTGGCCAATCAAATGAAAGGTCGATGGATCTGCGCCTCTCTCTATCTGCAATAATTATAATCGCAACAATTATAATCGCACTAAGCAACCATTAAGAACTGATTACTTAAAAATAACGCAATGAAGTATATTTAGAATACAAAAGGCATTACAAGGACGAATTACTAAAATAGGTCATATTTTAATGAACTTTCTTAATTTTACATTTTCATTTAAAAGATAAGAAAGTTATAATTTAGATAATAAACCATAGATTGTTAAATATTAATGTTAATTAACGATTAAGATTAACAAAATTAATGCAAATAAGGCATTTTTTCATCCTAAAGAATGTGAATTCTGTCTATCGCGCAAATCAGAATTCTATAATTTGTTATTAAAACTTGGCAGTATTTATCAATTAGCGGAGTGAAGTTTAGCAAAAATTTCCAGTCCATCTTAACATTTCAAACTTTCCTTCAAAGAAATTTTTTGAAGCCTGTTTTGTTACTAAGTGGTTTCAGAACACTAACAAAACTTTGTCAAAACACTCGTATTTATTTACTCCTTATAAGACCGTAGGAAGCATAATTCCCATAAATTTAAATGATTTTTAAATGCCCATGAGAATTCTAGTTTTTTACCCACGATTCTTGCGGCAAATTTCTGAAAGTGCAAAAAGAATTGAAGGCTTTGTTTGATTAAATGCGAACAACAGTAAAGGTTTGCGTCGGATCAAGAAGAGGTCAACACTTGGGAGATATTTTCTATTTTAAGTTATACGTTCACTCATTTGGTCATTCCTTATCGAGTTTATTTGTTTGTGGTTAAGAACACAGAATATATAAATTCAGTCATTTTAAGTCGTAGTTTATGAGTTAAGAATTTCTTAACTTGAATTTTTAAAAACCCTACCCCCTTCTCACCAAAAAGAAAATGGTTTCAAAAAATAGTTTCTGGTAATACGCTATATGAATTACTTTTAATTCTTTCAAAAATTAAGTGAATCTCAATACCAAAAATATTTTAGCATACAATACTGGAAAAAAAATAGCTTTATGAAGAGTAAATCAACAAACTTTTTAATTATTTTGGTGTACGGATTTTCATATAGTACCAACTTGTGGATAAATATCGAATTACCATAGCAACTAACAGCTTCAACGATAGAATAGGAACTTAAAATTTTAATATCTGTAATATATAGCTGTTTTTTAAACCTTGTTGATTAAAAATGCTTCCATAGAGTTTGGGTCGATGATAGAAAAACAGAATATTACACTGTAGTACTAGAGCCGTGATGGCTCAGGGGACAGAGCATTCGCCTTCCAATGTGGTGAACCGGGTTCGAATCTCAGTGACACGAATCCTCATTCAGCTTACACCAGCCCCAGTGCTGACTTAAGACAATCCCAGTGGTAAATGGCTGATGGGTTGGAGTCCTTTTGTCGCCAGGCTAACCAGAGGGTTTCGTGGTTTTTCTCTCCATGTAACGTTAAGTTCCATCAAATAAAAGTCCTCCACAAAGTCAAACTTCTCCCAATACTTGATCCAGGGGTTCCCTTGTCTTCTGAATTGGGTTCAAAATTACAAGGTTACTGAGTTTAACTTTAATAGTCGTAAGCCCAAAAACTTGGGTGGGCTGTTCAACGACATTAATAAAATGTAGTGTACTAACGATCAATTTAGCTTACCTGAAGAAATCGAATGAGTTCTACCAGGTGTCTAGACACAATTTTTGAATTATCGATTGCTCTTGCAAACGGAAACAAATTACCACAGCTCCAATCTACGATGATCACATTGCAATCTTCAACTGCTAGAAGCTTCGTCTTCATTCTCTGCAAGTTCCGAATTAGCATTAAACAGGGAACAAAAGAATTTAAAATAAAATATAAACAGTGTATACAGTCTGCAATATGCATAATGCAAGCTGTATACACATATGCATATTAAAATCTGCATCTTTAATACTTCACTTTAAAGGATACATATTGCAAATGTATTGCAATTAAAAAAAAAGAACAGAATACTCACTTGCATCCAGTCAGTCATGCGAAAGCTGTCGAGAAAACCGTGGATGATTACTTTTGTAGGGAGCTCAGGGTTGAAATCTGAAAGATTCGGGATATTCGGTTCATTTGTTTTTAAAATTCGGTGTTTTTCAGGGTGCCTTCTGGAGAAGAGAACGAAGTTTGGGAAATTCCTTTCAGATCTTGTACACTGGAAGTTGAACAGTTGACCCATTAGAGCAGAACCTGCAAAAGTTTAAATATTTAGTGCTGACCTCACATGTATTTACCAATTATCTTACATTCACTGATATTGACTTTAATTACAAAATGTATCTTTATTTTAGGAGGAAACACTTCAGTTTATCTATATTTTAATTTTGACAATCCACATTCGCAATTCTTGATTTACTTTTTTTTTAATTTGTGTTTATTTTTTATAATTTTATAACCGTTGTTGAGTAGCCGACCCTATGTTTGGGTTTACGACTACTAATGTTTAATTTTGAACCCAATCCAGAAGACAAGTGATCTCCTGGATCAAGTATTGGGAGAAATTTGCCTTCGTGGAGGACTTTTTGATGGAGCTAACCCGCATTTGCGTTATATGGAGAGTAAGACCACCCACAATTAGCCTGACTTCAAGGGGACTCTAACCCATGATCCGTTTACCATTGAGGATATTTTACGTCAGCACTGTGGTCGGTGCAAGCCGGATGCGGAAGTCGTATCGACCATCCATCGCCGGGATTCGAACCCGGTTCACCTAATTGGAAGGCGAACGCTCTATCCCCTCAGACATAGCAGCTCAATTTCTGTTTATTAACGATCTATTTAAGATGAAGGTCAATTAGGTCACTAATAGTCAAAAGAATTTTTTTCTTTGCAATCTTGTAATTGCAAAACTTCGCAATCTTTACAAAACTTAGAAAAAAATTGTGTTGAAATAATTTGCTTTTTTAGAGTCTTTCTGCAAGATCTATAACACCATCTTTAAAATTATTTTATGGTTATATATTATGACACATATGATGCACATTTTAGAGCTTTTTTTTCAAACTTTAGATCCTTTTATTTGATTTTTTGTTAAACTTGGAAGCGTTTTTAAAATCGCCTCTCTAATTCTCTATTTTCTTTTGCAATCAAACAATTTCAGTTTTACCTCCTTCAATAGCGATTTTCAAGATTTCGAGACCATTTTTGAACTTTCTTTGGAAACATCAATTTGAGACTCTCAAAACACATAGAAATTTTGAATCCTATTTTAAATTTATTTTCGTCTAAATTTTTCTTGAATTGAAAAATATTGGTGTAAAAATTCCTTATTTTTTTATTTAAATATATAAAAATTAATTTAATAGTTTCTGAGAAAAGCTACCTTAAAATTGGCCACGTAAACCTGAGCTAGATTAAAACTATCAACGCTCAATAAATTTCTAAACATGCATCTTTTCTATATTTACTGATCAACTTTTTATAATAGACATATAACAATCCTTTAACAGAAAAATTTCCTACGTTTCAATTTTCACAATCCTCGAATTCTCTTGAATTTATGATTAACTTTTCTATAACTTATATTTGGTAACAGAAATTAATGTAATGTAAACAGGAATATTTTGTTTTTGTTTAATGAAATAAATATAAGCCACAAAGCTCCATAATTCATTTTAAAATATGGGATAAGCATTAAAAAAAAGTTGTAAACTTCTAAAATATAGTCGTGAAATAAGAAGGGATTAAATTCTGTCATTATCTTGAATTACTAATAGTATTGCCTTTTACAGGAATACGCTAAAGTTTTTAAATTATTGGCCAAGAAATTATCTACACATCAGAAGTATTCGCCGATTTTCGAAAGTCTTCGCCAAATGCAAATCTTAACAATTTTTAATGATTTTTTTTCCAGAGAAAACTATTTTACATTAATTTGTTTCAGGTTTATATTATTTGGACCCAATTCTAATTGGTTATGTTGCGTATCTACCAAAAATTACTGTAATCTAATAAAAAAAACACTGATGTGTTTAAAAAAATTAATTTTGACGTAATTTTGGAGATAGAGTTAAATATAGATATTTTTCCCAATGGAAAAAAATTATTCCTCAATACTTTCACCAAAACACAATTTTATTCGCCAAGTGTACGATTTTATTGCATTTGGTGAGGTGGCAAATGCTTAACGTGGTACCTGCATTACATAAAAATTTAATTCAAGATAAGCTACATTTATTATTAGATCTTAGAAATGTTACACATAAAATTATAAAAAGAATTATGATTAAAGCGGTGCTGTTGTATCAAACAGAAATTACCTTGCTTTTAGATACCTTTAGATTTCAGCTCAAAATAAAACATTCCAACAACAGCCCGTTGTGAGTAAATTGGATCCTAAAATTTTAAATTCCCATATTTCGTGACCAACGGTATGATAATGGCAATGTGGTCAGCATTATGCACAAGCCGCCTTTACTTCCCACACCAGCTTATACCAATTTATCTGTAGATGAACTGAAACTTAAGCCACCATTCACGGTGTATACTCGTAAAATAGTAGTATTTTAGTGAAAAAATAATGAATTTCATTGAATTTGTATTCAGAACTATGATTTTATAAAAATTTTATTGATGCCACAGTTTTAAAAAAAAGGAAACTAATTCGTCAAGTGAACATCTGGAAAAACAAATGAATTATTTTTTAATTGCAATATTTATGAATTGTAATGCTCATCAGTTGTAATGATTTTTAGTAAATATTACAACTGATAAAGCACCCCCCGTTCTAAGTAAATCTGTTGTTCGATATGAAAAACAACCATTACTTTTTGCAAAGGTAAGTTTTTTATATGATACCCATGTGAGAATATGACGAACATCCAGCATCCGATAGATATTTTTTAAAAATCAAAATACTAAAAAAAAGGTAAAAACGACGTTTAGTAGCCCGTAGCTGCTCATAAAAATATTTCTTCATTTTCAAGAAGTCTCAATTTATGGATTCTGAAATCCTTCTCTGAAACATAGACCCCATTTCAATTCAACACCTCAATTCCCGAAATTGAAAAATATTTTACTTACGAATGAATTCATTGAAATAAAATCCTGGTCCAGAAATCAAGGAAAAAAGCTGAAGGAAAACAATAACTTTCAAGTACATCTTTGAAATATGAGGTAATAGTTAACATGTACTCTGTCAACACAAAAAACCGCGTCCTCATGAAATCTAGCAGAAATGCCTAATTCAGTATGACACTATAGGTTTATTATTTTTCGGAACGTTTCTAGCTGCCTATTTCTAATATGTTCATGACTTCTGTTACATTCCCTACAGTCCGGAATAATGGGGCTCCCCGTGGCCGAGAAATATAGATCTTCGATCTGGTACACCTAGCCGAGCACTCTCTTGCCCAACAGGTTCTTTTACCCCAAATCTCACTTACCTGGCAGGTTCGTTTGCCCGCATTCAACGCATTCATCTAACAGTGCATTTTCCCAACAAAAATAGCCCTGCAGATCGTTAAGACACGGTTCCCAGCCGATCACCGAAGTCAAGCATCACTGACTACGGTCAGTGTGCGGGTGGGTGACCACTTGGATCAGTCTGCGTAGGGACCGAGGGAGTGCGGTATGGGTCCTCGTTAAACTGCTCAACCGTAAAGTGCTGGACTTCGCATGCAGGTCGTCGGGCTACCGAAGCTGGGGTGCCATCCCCTCTTCAGAGGATCAAAATTTTGATGGCATGACATCGGATCATCCTCAGGGATGTTTCCCAGACCGTCGCCAATACCCCATTGTGCAGCTCTAGTGCGACGTAAATGTACAACAACAGCACTCTCTTACCCAACAAATTCTTTTACTCCAGATTTCATTTACTAATACGCATAAGACTTACAAAATAAGAAAAAACTATAATAATAAAATAAAAAATGATTATAAAATCAGATTCTAAAAATTACAACAATTAATAACTACTTGTGTACAAAGAGGTGGTGTAAAAATAAATATATAATCCATTACATATAAATATTCTTCTACTGAAAAAAAAGAGTTTCCCTGTCGGATAAATGTACCTTATAGCTGACGTTAAGCAGCAGACCCAATTTTGGGTTTACTCCTAGTAATGCTCAAATCCGTAGCCTAATAATTTTGAACCCAATCTAGAAGACAAGGGAACAATTGAATCAAGTAATGGGAGAAATTTGCCTTCGTGAAGGACTTTTTTGATGGAACTAACCCGTATTTGCGTTTCATGAAGAGGAAGATCACGAGAACCTTCCATGGTTAGCTTGGCGGCAAGGGGACTATAGCCCATGATCTGTCTACCACTGAGGATATTTCACGTCAGCACTGTGGTTGGTGCGAGCAGGGCAAGAAATTCGAATCAACGAGCAATTGCTGGGATTCGTACCCGATTCACCTCATTGGAAGACGAGCGCTCTATCCCCTGACCCTCACCACGACCCCCAGCTGATCGTTTTTTTTTTTAACATTTTTACATCCTTCGTTGAACAGCCGATCCAATTTTGGGTTTACGACAACTAATGTTCAACTCCGTAGCCTTGTAAGTTTGAACCAATCCAGAAGACAAGGGAACTCCTGGATCAGTACCCCCAGAGGTATTGATTTGTTATGGAAACATAGAGACTTTGGGACTCAACGGATTTAACGTGCATCAGTCACCATTTACTATTAGGGAGTCTTTGGCCGACCCAGTACCCTACCAGCCAGGTTATTCCAGCTCAACGGGCAAACACACTGTCGAGTACGGTCGGGAAAATTTACCTGGTGTACAAACGCACCCGTCGAATAAACTTACCTATCGGAAAAATGACTGGGTTCGCCCTCCTTCCATCTAATGACATTAGTTGGGAAGGTAGTGGGTTCCATTTCCACCTTAGCCTTTGTGTATCTTTCTGCTCTTCTAATTTGAGCTATTAATCATTCTTCCCAAGCGTTTATAAGCCGTTCTTTGTATTGAGCACTCAACCCAACATAGTTATATGAATAAATAAATAAATAAAATAACCTAGAAAGGCCAAGAGACTTGGATCCTTTACTTCAACGAAGAAGGTCACTGGTTCGTACTCCGAAGTCAGTTCGGAGCTCAGGGCAAGCGAATAATGTAACAAGTGCTTAAATGTGTTTGTTCTTCAAAGCAAAGGAGTTTTTCGTCAAAGAGATTTTTTTTAAAAAACACATAGTGAGAGTTTTAACTTAATTTTAATTTGAAACTAATATAATATCTTTCTAAAAGAAACGTGTGTGTTCGCGCTTCAAAAGTAAAAAATAGCTGCAGTATTTAAAAATTTTAAAAAATTAAACCAAGGGAAAAATCGCCAATCGGCAAGGTTTATCCCACATAGGCGAAAGTTTTTTAAACCTCAATTCTCAATTTTTGAGTAATTTTATGAATATAAGCAGTTAGAGAAGTTTTCCAAACATTTAAAAAATAGATTTCAAAATTTTTTGTTTCTACAAAACTGCGGCTTTTCTTTAAATTTTTATTTTGCACTAGTTTCATAATTATCATAAAGTCCGCTGACTAAAAACTATCATATCCGAACAGCTATTCATGACCCTGTTTGTTTAGACAATAAGTTACGAACTCATTGCGGAAAATAAAATTACCTTAAAAGGATTAACTTTTCCCCACTCACTTTCATTTTCATATTAAGACGGCCCATGTCAGTTTGTGGATAATCCCGTATACAGAGCCACAGTGGCTCAAGGGGTAGAGCTTCGCCTTCCAATGAGGTGAACCGGGTTCGAATCACGGCAATGGCTGGTCTATACGAATTCCGCATCCGGCTAGCACCGACCACAATGCTGACGTGAAATATCCTCAGTAGTAGACGGATCATGGCTTGGAGTCCCTTTGCCGACAGGTTAACCGTGAGAGGTTCTCGTGATCTTCCACTCCATGTAACGCAAATGCGCGTTAGTTCCATCAAAAAAGTCCTTCACGAAGGCAAATTTCTCCTAATACTCGATACAGTCTTCCCTTGTCTTCCGGATTGGGTTCAAAATTTCAAGGCTACAGAGTTGAACATTAGTAGTCGTAAACCCAAAAATTGAGTCGGCTGTTCAACGATGGTTATAAAATAAAACCCCGTATACAAGATGTTTCGTAATCACCGCCTATAATACATATTTTTAAAATCCTTGTCAAAACTGAAGTTAATCGAAGATGAAAAATCAAAATGAATGGAGTAAATTACAAACTAATATTTAAAGGAGGAAAAAAAGAAAAACTCAACGCATCGAAATGAAACAAATCATTAAGGAGATTAAAAACATTCAAAACCTGTTAGATTAACTTTGAAAATTGAGGTAGCTGATAACACATTATTAAATTTGATACAGCATTCAAACTAGTTTTAATGGTTTTAATCTCATCTTCCTGCGAAGTTTTTCGACACATTTTTATATCCTATTTTCGCCAACCCACGTTATTAATTTAAAATTCTCAGTACGTTACATTTTAAATCGGAAATACGTTTTTCAAAGACTTGAATTCGATTAGTATAAGGTTTGTTATTATGAAGCATTTTATACATTATAATGGTTGAAAACAAAAATTAAAAACGGACTTAATAGTGAGATTTCTTTTACAAGAAGAAATCGAGATCAAAATCATAGGAAAATGGAAGATTTTATATACGCTATAAGTTCCCAAGAACAGTGCCCAATCCAAATAGCTACCAATTCTACACTCCTATACTAAACCTCTCTATTTTCTAATTTTCGTATTTAAATTAACGCTTGTTACTTGGTATATCTCAAATGTGTCGCTGAAACAATGAAGATTTCAAACTGAAATACTAAAAAAAAATCTGGTCATTAGATTAAAAGTTATTCTGACTCTTTCTATTTTTACAGATTTTTTGTGGCGTAGTTTTAAAATGTTATTTAACTATTAGTTTACATTAATAGATGTTTAGTATTCGTTTGAAACTCGTATCTACCGGAGCTGATAGCCGGGAAACAAATAGACGGGAAGCAATCTATTCAAATTCCCACGAATATAAAGCAAGTGCAGTTTTTGAAATTTGCATAATGCATAAAAAGTATAGTAATTATATTGAAATAATAAATGTCTATTCTAGATAAATACAATAATAAATAATTATAATATATAAATGCAGTTAATATAACGACATAATAAATATCTATAATATGTAAATACATTTAATATTGTAAAATAATGAGTATCTCTTAGCACATCGATACAATCAATATCGCGTACGAAATAATATATATATA